TGTTGTTGTAGCTTAGTGTCATCTGTAAATTTGGATATGAAACTTACTAGTCCTTCATCCAAATCATTTGTATATATGGCGAATAGCTGGGGTCCCAGTACAGACCCCTGGGTGACACCACTTGTCATGTCCCGCCAATTAGAGAACGTTCCCTTTATTCCTACCCTCTGTTTCCTGCCTCCCAACCAATTACCAAACCACATCACAAGGTTTCCTCCGACTCCATGCGCTTCCATTTTCACTAATAATGTTTTGTGTGGAACCTTATTAAGTGCCTTCTGAAAGTCCAAATAAACGATATCCATAGACACTCTTATCCACCATTTTAGTGACCTCAAAAAATTCAACTAGATTAGTCAGATGTGACCTACCCTTCACATACCCATACTGGTTAACAGGATCTGAAACAGTTTACTCTGAATGTTAGGTTGCCTGTCCCTTTGTTTGCGATCCCTCCAGCAGAGGGAAAAGTCGTTCTGTATCTAGATCATTGAGGCTTTTCATTTTTGCTTCTGCATGATTTCAAATGCATGTAAAATTAAATTGGAGGAACAAATCATTCACTGCCTTAGAAATAAAGTATCAAAGACGTATGTTATATTTGTCTACAAACGGCTTCACGCCCTGGCACCTCCCTACCTATCTGACCTGCTTTTCTCCCCACTCCGCTACCTGCTGCCTTCGTTCAGCTATCTCTGGCCTCTTGCTTGTCCCTCATCAGCCACTATGCCCAGAAGCTTTGGAACTCTCCCCAATCCCTCTGCCTCGTCTCCTCCTTTCTCTCTTAAATCACAACTGAAAACCTTCCTCTTCCACTGTGCTTATGGTCACCTCCCCCCACACCCCCACTGTCAAGTGCTCTGAGACACTGCTCTGTGTGAAGGACCCTATATAAATGCAAGTTGTTTTTGTAGACTAGAAATCTGATTTGCGGTCACCTCGGTAAAACAACCACCTCACAATTTTGGGCACATTTTCCCGGTCTCTTCCATTGTCAATGTTAAAAGATAGGCTGTCTTCTTCAGTAAACTGGGTACCTCACTATTCTGGACAACTGTCATTGATTGTTGCCACTACAATGTCCTCCTCCGGTACAAACACCCCCCGCCGCTACTAACCTGTACACAGTGAGCTAATCCTCGGACTTCTTGCGTTGGTTCCTTGGCGCTGCTACTGTGGGCGGAGTGGGCTCTTGTCAGGCATGCGCGGGGAGTGTTGCAATCGTGGAAGGTGCGCGAGCAGAAAATCAACTTCAGTAGGTTGTGGGTTTATTATGTACTGACGGATGTGCAGCATGGTATTGTTGAAGGTGCTGTCCTTTGAATAAGACATTCGCCCACAAAATACACAGTCACTTCACTTTACAATATATTCTGTAATGCTCTTGAGACGTCTCAACGACTTGATAAGGTGCAAGAATTATTATTATTATTAGTGAATCAAGATCCCTTTGTCTTGCCTATTCAGGTGGAAGTTAAATATCCCATTTGTAAAGAGAAGGGAAGTGGTTTGAAACATACCCCTGACGTAATAAAGCCGTATATAATAATAATCCTTGCATTTGATATAACGCTATTCTCGTCTTCTAGCTGTCTCAAAGAGCTTCACGGAATATATTGTAAAGTAAATTGACTATATTTGTGGACGAAACGCGGCAGTGAATTGCGCACAGCAGTGTTCCATAAACAGTCGTGGATTGAAGTGACTAAATTATTATTGTGTAATATACAATTATATCAAATTTATATCAAATGCATGGAGTATTGTTATGATTATAGTTTGCAGTATGTTGAAAAAAAGTACTCTCCAGGCTTTAATTAGAACCTGAACACTATTCGATATGAATGAAATGAAAAAGCTCAGCCAGGGTACTCTGATGGCACAGTCAGGAATGGCACAGCCTTTGATACTGATGGGCAACGAATTCCAACAGAGGAGCAGATGTTGAAATCACATGATGTGTGGACTGAATCTCAGCTTAATCCAAAGAGGGAGAAAAGTGATGATGAAATGGTGGAAAATATGAGTTGCTGCAGCCACTGTGCCATTTGCTTCCAGGCAAAACACATTGATTGTTTAATGACAGAAAGTCAATCGATTTTTCTTTCTTTCCCCTCTTTGTGGTGATGAATTAAACCCATTTGAGTGTATGACAGTTTAAATGGGATTGAAAAAAAGTAAACCCAGAACAATAGTTTAGGATACAAAAAGATAGTAGAACAGGAGGACTCCGGTTTAGAGTTGCAATGGGCAATTACAGGACTGACTGACACCAGGAATTGTTTCTGTAACCCAGGGTAATTAAAGATAGTTGGCCAAGGTGGTTGAGGCCAGACATTGGATTTCATTTAAAAAAAAGGTTTGATGCCATGGTGGCATAATGAGGTTGGGTGTTCTGGATGGATGAGATCAAATGGGCTGAAGGGTCAATCTTATGGGTAGAGGCAGGAAGTTGTTATAAACAAAAGACAGGTACTGTATGTTTGCAAGTAAGGGATGGGGGAAGAAGAAGATTGGGAAAAATTTCTCCAATATCTTATTAATATCAAAAAATAAAATAGTGATAGTTCTTGCATTTGATACAGCACCTTATCACATTGCCTCAAAGCATTATGCTATAGAGTAGTGTCCCTGTGTGTATAGTAGCTATTTTTCTTATCTTGCCCAAATGGCCATCCCTCCTTGTGCAATTCTAATCGCTGAGTGTTGTGGGCTGTTTTGACTGGAACTGAGGTTGGAAACACGAAGCCGAGCTTGATGCTATCCTTGGCACAGTGGATTCACAAAGTGAGCGAGCTGTTTGAGCAAATTTAAGACAGTTACTCAGTTTATTTTCTGTAATCCACAAGTGACCGCTATGTACACTTTATATCTAATCAATTACTCTGTGTTCATATGATCCTTGGCTTCATGAGCTTCGTACCCTATTGCTCCTGAGCAGGCTTTGAATACTGATACAGTAATACAGGCCAACCTGTGTTAGCCCAGTCACCAGGTTACAAAATCTCAGCGGACCCATTATAAGACATGTGCAGAAAAATGTATAACTTCTGAGTTTTCAGGCTGCCACTGATGACATGTCCTGCGTATTACACACACTCAGTTCTGCTGTTACCGTGTTACCTTTATGAAATGACATGAACATCATTTCCTGTGCTTTTTTGTAAGGTCAGCTGATGGCCTGACTTGTGCAGAAACCCATCACCCTGATTATGAGTATCCAAATCAGACTGAATTGCACATATGCTGGGTGCTTATCGATTAAAACTTTTCATGTCCCCCACTCTATCTGCTCCACCGTCAGCAGGCAGGCTTTTAGCTATTTTGTTTTCATCCTCTGGAATTCCATCCTTGAATCCCTCCTACTCGCTCCCTCCCCTCTTTCAAGGCCCGTCTCAAAATGCACTTCTTTCATCACACTGTCGGTCATCTTACCCCCCACCCTCCATCACCAGATTCTCATCCCCAGCTCAGGTGCTCAACCAGCACTGTGAATGCGCTTTTGGACGTCCTTTTGACATGAAAGGCACTGTATAAATGTAAATTCTATGAAAGTAAATTGTATTTATTGTAACTATGCATTCAAAACAATGCACAGGTTTCGGTTCTGATTATTTGATTGGAAGAAAAATCTGATATCTGGCTTTGCTTTTGTGAAATCTTGTGGATTGGCACAGCTTCAGTGAAATAAAGCCTGGACGTCTGTCTGCACTGGTCTGGTTCCAAAGCATTGCTGCTGATCTGCCAGATACATTTTGGTCTTCAAATCTCTTTCATCAGCTTCTCCCTCCTGCAGTTAACCCCTGTTAACTGTAAAAGCACAGAGATCAGCCTGAATCAATTGGCAGCAATCTCACCTCTGACCCATTTTGGGACTTTGGATTCACATTTGCTGACACTCCCAACACATTTCTGGGGTTTGCTGTATTTTGGAGGTGCAGTCCTTCGGATAAAACATTAAACTGAGGTCCTGTCTGTCTCAGCCATTCTTAGCTTGGCTCAGTTGGTGTCGCTCTCACGTGTGGGTCAACATGTTGTGGAATAATCCTTGCATTTGATATGGCTTCTTTCACATCAGGGTGGTGCCTGAAAGTGCTTCACAATATCCACTGTAAGTGTAGTGACTGTTTATTTTTGGAGACAAACGCAACAACCAATTTTACACAAACCATTGTCCCTCAAGCAGCCATGAAATGAATGGCCAGCTTTAGCTTGGGAATTGTCCAAATCAAGACTTGAGGACAAACTCCTCTTTTTTGACGAGTGCTGTAGGATAATGTCCACCTTAACAGGCAAAGGCGGGACCTCACTTTAATGTCTTATCCGGAGGATGGCACTTCCAAAAATCCATCATGATTCTAGCACTGTATTTGAGTGTCATCTTAGACCAGTGGGAGACCAGCGGTTCTCAAACAATTTTTTTTGATGGCCAGGTTGGGGCAGTGTAACTTTGTAATCTGTATTACTTTCCCCCTTCTCGAGCCAGCTGGCACGTGGGGAGAGAGAGAATGGCGCATGCCCAACGGGCACCCACCCGTCCTCGCAGACTTCCATGGGGGCTGTAGTCTGGCCGCCACCTCTGCAGAAGCGGGCCCGACGAACGCTCAAACTACAAGAACCAGCATTCGCTGTGCTGCGCTACACGCACACATACAGATGTTTCCTCCCTCCTTCCCCCCCCACCCTCCCTGGGCCAGGTGCGCTGGTGTGACCACACAAAGGTGGCCGCATGCGGCTACAGTGACTGAAATTTGAGAAACGCTGACCTAGCCTGTGTGTGTTTCATGTCCAGTACTCACAGCCTTCTGACTCGGAGGTGAGCGTGCCAACAACTGAGCCAAGCTGATACCCAGAGTGATGATACAAGTAGCAGTCCAACTAATAAAGGATGATGAGACAGGTGGTAGTGGCACAGAAGCAAATGGTTTGAAATGATTCCTTCTGTACTGACACTTTTTATATCTCTATACTATTTAATCAACCATTGTTCTTTTTTGCAGCTGCCACCGTCTTCGGCAGGTTCAAGCCATTGTGAATCGTAGCAACAAACCAAAATCTGATGGAATTCTCTGCATTCTAGGTACGTTACAAAGTTTAGCACTGATTTCTAGCGATTAGACTATTTGGGGCGGGGGAGAAACGTGAATCTTAAACTCACAGAACATGATAAACATGTTTAGCCCATGGTGCTTTGCTGGCTCTCTGAAAAAGCAATCAAAATAAGTCCCATTCTGCTGCCTTCCCCAGCCCCATACCTGGAGAATTTCAACTATTATACATTCCTGTGCTTTTTAAGTAAAGTGTTTATTTTACTCTTTTAGTAATTACCTATACCCTCTAATTACCAATTGTTAGGCCTGTATAATAGAGGTAAATGATCGGATGAACCTTAGTTCTACAGCCTCATTTTAATATTTCAGTAAGTGCACCGCAGTGACTCAGAGAGGAAGGAGTGGAGAACATTATGTTGCGTTGAGCTGAATAATCAGATGTGATTAAAGCAACCTGGGTTATTATCCACTGATGGGAAGTTGGCTGCTTCACATTAAGCGGTCGGGCTCTCTCAGAGCACTCCTCCCAAGCACTTAGATTCACATTAATGTGACTGAAATTGTTTTCAGTATCTTTGGCGGGAGGTGGAAATGGTGCTATAAAATTGCAAATGATGCTGCAGAACGCTATAACAATCATTAATGGAAGTGGTCACCCCACTGACTAACTTGATAAATTCATGAGTGGAAACTCAGTTGACTGCAGGAGCTGAATCGTATGGACTAGGATAGCAGAGGGTTGAAACACACCCCCACCCCACCAGTCAACTGAGTGTTTGATACATGTCGGAAGCCCATAACTGTACTGATGAGTATCCAAACCAGACAGAGTTCCATACCTGTATGCCTTCCACACATGGAAAATTCCTGCCTGGAAAGGAATTTGTGCTCTCTTAGAGGGACCCACCCTGTATTACCTAATCCCGAAGAGTATTAGGCACAGGTTGGAGAGCCAAGGTCTGGGGTCCTCTGACTGTGCATTGGACATATCTGCTGGAGGTTAATCCATTAAAACCACAGAGCTTGCCATTGAGTGTGCCTTCAGCCACTATGCCCCGAGGCTCTGGAACTGCCTTCCTCACTCCCTTCGTCTCGCTCCCTGCCTTCCCATTTTCAGGTCTCTGCTGAAGACCTTTCTTTTCGACTGCGCCTTTGGTCACCTTCCTCCCCCTCTCCCTGGCTCAGCCCCAGGATCCGTTACTGTAAAGCGCTCTGAGATGCCGTCTGGCGTGGAGGGTGCTATATAAATCCAAGTTGTTGTTGAGAGCACGGTCTGGCAAGCTCTCCTGTTGCTTTTCCAGCTTGGAAATCCCTACCTTTTAGGGCTTTGGCTTGCAGGGTTAACAGGAGTTGAGTTGAGTGAATCCCTGTCCCCATTGGGCCAATCTGCCCCTCGAAGCTGTGTGTGCTGTCATCAGTAGTGCCATAGAGTACTGGCTCATGAACTGGACTGGAGTCCGCTACAAAGAGTGGACATGCCAAGCACGTCAGCTTGGAGCCAGCATTTATTTTGTGTGTGTATGCTGTTAATTAAAGTTGCATTTTGTTTGAAGAAGTCATTTTTAAAAAGATTAAGGAGAGCAATATTTCAATTGCGATGATTATTACAGAATTGTTATTCTAAAATGGAATTTGGATGTTTGAAGAGGAATATTAAATTGTGCGGTGAACTTGAGGATCAGAAGAGATTGGCTCCTGTGGAGAAATAAGTGTTGGTTTGATGTTGGAACGATCCCTTGTGGAAATCTATAATTCTTCCCCAAAAGGCTGTGGATTGCAGGGTCAGTTGGAATTTTCAAGTCTGATGTTGATAGATATTTGTTATGTAAGGGTATCAAAGGGATACAGTGAAACTCTTACGTCTTATCTTTATAAATTGTATAAACACCAAAGTCGTACATTCACACGAGTCCCATTCAGTTTCCTATCAAAATTACTTCACAGTGCTTCTTTTTCTCACCTCCTAACTCGTAATACGGCTCCCCTACCTTCTATTATTTCTACACTTGAATCGTGGGAAATTACGTCCTTAAATGTTGACACACGCGCACTTAAATGTAGTCTTCATCTGTCGACTTGTGTGCAGAACAACTTCATTTCACACGATTCAATGTGATTCCAATGTTTGTTGGTAAGAGTGTGTGTGGTGACATGTGAAGACTCATTGAATCATGGCAAAATATAGTTTTAATGCACATTTTCTGGCTGCAATGACTAATTACCGTATGCACATTTACTGGGTGCATTAAATTACACATGCTCAGTGTAGATTATTGAATAAATCGGATTTTCGATGACTTCTACAGTTTGCCTGAAACTTGGACCTCGTGTAAATCATATTAAAAGTTTTGGTCCCGACTGATACAATTTTGTGAGTTTTACTGTATATAGTAAAGGCTGTAAATGAATGGTGGAAGAGGCTCGAGGGGCTGAATGGCCATCTCCTGTTCCTGTGTTCCGAGTATAGAATGATTCTGGGTTGAACTGCGAATTAGTGATGAGAAATTCCACCTCCTCTTGTCTTTCTGTAGCATTTCGGAACATGGTATACTTTGACAAATTGTTGCCTTCAGTATTATTTGGGGCCAGCTTTCTCTCTCTCATTCTTAAAAGGACTTCTTCAAAATTGCCAAATTTTTGGTGATCTGAAGTGTTAAGAAAATAGAAACCCAGACTCAAGGAGGAATTTGTACACTTTAATGTTCATTTTCTTTCTGCAGTTTTGACGTTCTTTTCTTTTGCAGGAATTGATAGTCGTTATAATGAGGGCTGTAGGGAACTGGCAAATTACCTGTTCTTTGATTTGTATAATATGACCAACATCGACTGTGACACTGCGGATTTGCCAGACGAAGTGTTGGATGGTAAATATACAAACCCAGCTTCCAGGCTCATTGAAGCATTATGTAGGGCCACACCTGGACACAAACAGTGCCCTTTTATCAGGCCAATGCTAATCAGTAACTTATTATTTGTCCTCCTTATGTCCAAGCTGGACTATTCGAACCCCTGCTCATTTTTTGGGGGGTGGGTGGTCAGCTGGATGTCTGACACATGTGGAAGAGTATCCAGACTAAACTGAGAATTCCATGCATCCCACCTACATGGAAATTCCAGAGATAGATTGTTGGAATGGCATGTGCGCTCTCTCCCTGGAGAGATGTATTCTGCTTACCTAATTCCAGAAAGTACTAGGTGCAGGTTGGCAAGAGCTAAGGCTTGGGGACCCCAGAGTGTGCATTGCAGTATTGCTGGAGTCTAACCAGCTAAAACCGGATAGGTTGCCATTAACAGACACTATCCTGCTCATCATACTCCCTAGCTCTTCCCTACATAAGCTGCAGACATTTCAGAACCTTGCAGCTCTCCCACAGCAGGCAATGTGAATCCCCCCACTATCCTCGCTCGACCCCACTGGCTCCCCATCCCCCCAGCAGATTGAGTTCAAGATCCTATTCCTTGCATTCAGATTTCTCCACGGCCTCTCTTCCCCCCTCTATTTCTGCGACCCTCCTCCCTGGCTGCTTCCTCAAGATGTAACTGGCTAATGTAATTTTTCTTCCTACATTTGTTTCAGATGTAATTCTCTTGATAAAATCGCAGAGTGTTCATCTGTACTGCAATCCTGTAAATTATAAGTACCTGCTGGCTTATGTAGCACACTGGAGGAATCTACACATGCACTGCTTGACCGAAAAGGAAGTAAGTTGCAAAATTTGTGAGGTAGCAGTATTTTTTGTTGGAGGAGAGGATCCTTTTAATTTCAAGCCTTAATTTTTTTTTAACTTTTCCTTATCCCAAAATTATGCGTATTTAAAGATGGTTAACCATATTCCCCATTCTGCCGGTTCCACCATCAGCAGTTATGCCTTCCGCCTCTCTGCCCTCATCCTTTGAAACTCCATCCCACAGTTCCTTCACCTCACCCCCTCCCTTGCCTTCTTCAACACCCGTCTCAAGACCCTCCTCTTCAACCGCGATTTCAGTCACCCTCCTACCACCACTCTCCCTGCCTTCCACCTCTCCTGAACCCAACCCCCAATTTGGGTGTAAACCCCTGACTGTCCAGAGTTGTGGAATGTCCTCCCGACATGAAATGTGCTATACAAATGCAATGTGTTGTTGTATCAAGAAGTCCTTGAACACTGTAATCATATCAGATTGGACTCTGTAATTAAAAAAAAGTTCAGAAATAGAGACACAAAGCAATCTACAAGCATGTCCTGTGTATACAACTTTACATTAAAAACAAAACACCTGGGTTCAATTCCAGGCAGGGTGAAACCTTGGGCAAGTGTCCTTACTCCACACGACTAACAATAATCCCTCCAAAACAATAATAAATTGGTCATTTTCAATCCACGACTGTTTGTGGGACATTGCTGTGCGCAATTGGCTGCCGCGTTTCGCCCACAAATACAGTCAATTCACTTTACAGCATATTCTGTGAAGCGCTTTGAGACGTCTAGAAGATGTGAAAAGCACTATATCAAATGCAAGGACTATTATTATTATTAAACCTCCTCACTTTATTGTGCCTACATGAAGGAGCTTAACAAAATTCATTTTTAAGAAAATACAGTTAACCCTACCCATAGACTCAAACCTGTGAAAATCATTATCTTGAATAGAGGAAGTTAGTTACAAGACTTAAAGCTTCATTTTGGTTTTGAATGACACCAACCAAGAGGCAAAATACCTGCAGCCAATAAACCCCCCAAAAGGCCATCATTCTTTACCAGCCAAATTTACAATACGTTCCACATTTACATAATGTCTTTCACAGCAGTAGATGCCTCAAGGTGTTTGAATTGTTTCTGTGCTGTAGCGTTCTTTGTAACTCCCTGTTGTTGAATCTGGTACATTACTCCGGGCATTTTGCAAGCAAATGCATTGTCGTGTCTCAAGAAGAAATAGTCACAGATCAGTCAATCTGGTTTTACATTATTTTTTGTACTGAGCAACATTAATACAAATGTAGCACTTTTCTCCACTTCACGTAATTGAATGCTTAAATCTTTCAATGTCTTCTCCCCCCCCACACCCCCCCACACCCCCACGCAAAAATCCATTTTGGGTGAATTGGGTTATAGTAGATTTGTATTGTATAGACAGTTCTGTTTAGACAGATCAACTGTAAATTGATCTGCCTATAGAACATTCTCCCTGCATGAGACTGAACATTTGGGCATGATCTGTGCTCTTATGCTGATAAATTAGACTACGTTAAGGTCAGTTAGTTAGGCTGATGGTATTTTACACTGTTGTCGCCTGTTGGGAGTTAAATTCATTTAAAAAAATCTTTCCTTTAGTATCAAGATGAAGAGGCTGCAGAGGAGTTCAAAATTGCCAGCTTTGTGAACATGGTACGAGACTGCAGTAGAATCCGCGTTCCATACAGCTCCCAAGGTAAATAGCACAGCAGATCTGAAGTGCCATGATTAACTTTGTACCTCCAACAGCTCAATGCTACTAGAATAGTGAACCGGTGCAATGGGATGAGAATAATTACCTGTAGTCATCTCCAGTGGAGGAGATGTTACCATAACAACAGCAAAAACAATTTACGCTTAATAATAATAATCTAATACTTCCATTTGATATAGCGCCTTATCACATCGTTGAGATGTCTTAAAGCGCTTCACAATGTAAAATGGATTGACTATATTTTGTGGGTGAAATGCGGCAGCCAATTGCGCACACAGTGTCCCACAAACAGTCCTGGATTGAGTGACCAAATTATTTTTTTGAAGGGGATATTACCCCGGAAAACGACTTGCCAATCGCCTAACAACCAGGTTCCTACTTAATACTAGGTAAACAGAGGCGACTGGAGTACGGAAACTTGCTCAACATTTTGCCCTGCGGGAATCTAACCCAGGTCTCTCGCTTACGAGGCAAGTGTTCTAACTACTGAGCTACAAGGCTCCACAAATGTGGGTAAAATGTTGCTGAGCAGATAATGTTTTCATGGATGAAGACCTTCCTTTAGGAGTTCACTGAAGTGGTCTGCAGCAATAAAATGTGTTTGTCTTAAACTTTTTTATTCCCTGAGACTTGCTGTTCGTTGCTCTCTGCATTGTTTTTAACTCAATGTTGCCACCTCTAGGTTGTTGACTTGATTTGAAGCTCCTGTGCTGCCTACAATACAAGAGATGGAATCCCAAAGCCTCCTTACTGCAGAGGATAATCATTAAATAACTTAGATAGCTTTGGACGCCCTTATACTCTCCAGAATTAGTATTCTTAAGCATGGTATATCGGAACATGAGTAGGCCATTTGGCCATCGAACCTGTCCCACCATGTTCCAAGATCATGGCCAATCCCTAACTCAATTCCTCCTCCCACTCTCTTTCCATAACCCTAGATACCCCTGTTTATCAAGGCTATATCTATTTGGCTTTTAGTCTCTTCAATTAAGTATGATGATGGGCTTCTGCAATTATCAGACACCCAGCTGAGCAAAACAAAATTGTCTTTGAATTCTAGAAATTAGCTAGTTATTGCAATATTGTTAGTTGGATGTACTGTCTATTTGGGGCTTCAGGAGGTTTAAAGTAAGAAAGTTATTTATTTGATATTCTCAAATGCGAAAAAACTTAGATGCCATAATTTAATAATAATTAATATTAATGGTTGCATTTTGATTTAACATTGTAAAACTGTCTCAGACTTCACAGGATTTTACTATTCAGTGTGGTGAATGCAGCAGCCAATTTGCTCATAACAGTATCCCACAGGCAGCCATGAGGTGAATAATCAGTGTTATCTTGGGGGATTATTGGCCAGAACACAGGAGGAACTCCCTTCTCCTTTCAAATAGTGCTATGGGAGCTTTGGGATTTCTCCTTATAACTGAAAAACTAATGCAATTGTCAGAAGATGGATTTTTTTTATTGTAATGTTTTCTATATATTTCAATGTTTATTTATAGAACTACATCCCAGAGTCCCCCAACTCCCTCCCTCCCCTCGTTTAAAGTCTGTCCCAAGACCTACCTCATTGACCACACTTTCAATCATTTTTGTCATAAGCTCTCACACCCAGCTCGGGTGTCCAGCCACCACCTTTTGACATCCTCCCAAGGCACTACATAAATGTAAATTTGTATTGTATAAATAGAAAGATTTAATTTAAAAAGAACGTTAAAAGAAATTGCAGAGTTAGGCATCTGATGGAGGAAATTAGGGTGGGTAGGGGAAGGCATCAATAAACAAATATATTCCCTGCACTGATTTTTATTTATAAAGGTCATTTTATAGAGATTATTAACTAGATTATTGTATCTGTGGTTTTAGCACAGATACAATAATCTAGTTTTTTTTCCCCAGTGGAAATTGGGGTTATATTATCCTTATTGTCCCATGTGCTGTTCAAAAAGAGAAGGGAATTTCTCACAGTGTCCTAGCCAACAATTTCCCCATAAAATTGGTCACTCATTTCATGGCTGTTTATGGGACGTTGCTGTGCACAAATTTTGTAAGTTCACCCACAAAACAATCACTGCACTTTACAGTAAATCCTGTGAAGAGCTTTGGGTCATCCTCCCAACATGAAAGGCGCTATACTAAATGTAAGGATTATTATTAGTTTTTATTATTCTATTATAACTTATTAATGTTATTATTATTTTTGTTTTATATGGCTTCAAATTACATATTGTTGACTTTTGTCTTTATTGTCGCTTTTAGGGCACGTTCAGAAGTTTGATATGTTTATCGTTGAGAAGTGGCCCATTATTCAAGCATTTGCTCTGGAAGGAATCGGAGGAGGGGGATTTTTCACAATGACACACGAGGTACATTCCAGTATTATCCATATGCTTGCAACAACACAACAACAACAAAATACATTTATAGAGCACCTTTCACATTGGGAGAACGTCCAGGGAAGAGTGGAGATCTTCCAAAAGGATGTCCTGTAGTGTAGTGGTTAGAGCACTCGCCTCGCAAACGAGAGGATTCTGGTTCAATTCACGGGTGGGGCGAAACCTTAGGCAAGTTTCCTTACTCCAAACGCCTCTTTTTACCCAGCAGTAAGTAGGAAACCGTGTGTTAGTCGATTGGTGGATAGCTTTCCGGGGGGCAATAATCCCTTGAACCAAAAAAATTATAATAATTTGTTCACTCAATCCATGACTGTTTGTGGGACTGTCAATTCACTTTATCTTTTCTTTTGTGAAGTGTTTTGCGACATCTTGATGACATAATAAGGCACTATATCAAATGTAAGGATTATTATTACAATAACGGCAAGTTGGAGGGACTCCAGGAAGGAATCCCAGAGATCATGGACAGAATGCCTTAAAGCGTGTCCACTCAAAGTGGGGCAGAGCGGACAGGGAACTTGAGTTGGGCCGCTATTATTTATTTATAGCCAGGTACAATTTATTTATAATATTTTTAAAAGGAATACCAAATGAATTGAAAGAATTTAATTAACTCACTAACTAAATGGAACCCACTGAATGGGAAGTATAGAATCCTACAACACAGAAGGAGGCCATTCGTCTCATCGTGCTTCTGCCAGGTCTTTGACAGAGCTACCAAATCGTCCCATTCCCCCCACTCTTTCCTCATGGCTCTGCAAATTTGTTGCGTCTTAACTGTTTTTTTAAAAAGCCAAGTAGGAGGCATGCTGGCTGCTTGACCTGCCAATGATGTGACCAATTTTGTGATCAGTGAAGTCACGATTGCCTTCATTCAGAATAGAAGTATGGTTTCCATTCTGTTCTTCAGCTATTCGATGCAAGCGAGGAATTGTGGCAAGCATACACCAGACTGGATCCAACCTCTCTGGAGACCTTGATCACTGAGGTAAAGCATCCATTCATTTCTTCCTATAATTGTTACACTCTTTCCATGACACTGCCTCGGGTCTCAATAGCAAGCCGAAATAGTGGGGTAATCCTGCCACTGTGTAAAACATTGGTGAGACCATACTTTAGAGTACTGTGTACAGTTCTACACGCTGCAGCACAAAAAGGATATTGGAGAAATCGAGAAGATACAGGGGAGGGCAACCAAAATGATTGAGGGAACGGAGGGACTGGACTATGAGGAGCGACTAAGTAAATTGGGCATGTTCACGCTGGAAAAAAGAAGATTGAGAGGCAACGTGATTGCTGTCTTTAAGATCCTAAAGGGGCAAGACTATATAGATCATGGCTTGTCCAGAATAGTAAAACCAGAGGACATGGCTTGCGATTGAAGGGGGGATAATTCAGAACAAATCTACGCAAACGCTATTTCATTGAGTGAATAGTGAATCTATGGAACAGAGAGACGGTTGAAGCAGAAAGTGTTAATTCTTTCAAACACAGATTAGATCATTTTCTTTAAGGAAATATCATTATGGGATATAGTACATAGATAGTTTGGGATGTGAATGTGACCGCCAGGAAGGTGGAAGGTGAACTAGATGGATCTTGATTTTTTTTCGTCTAGCATTTCTTATGTTCTTATGATTGGTTGGGATGAAGGTGGTCCCTCGGCCCATCTGGTCTCTTTCTTCCAGAACACCCATCCTACCTTCTTTCCATCAAAGCATTAAGCTTTCTTTTAAAGTGTTTGTCCAGCTCATTTGAGATGCAATTGAGTTGTTGACCTCGGTATAACGAACGCCATGGGGACTTGAGAAACGTTATATCCGTGCGTTCGCTATAAGAGGTTCACAGGAAATCTGTGATTGGCTGCCGAATACTCCTGCCAGTTCGACTTGATTACAGATTGTTATATCAGGGGCTACGCTGCTTCAATGATCACTGTGTCGGTGTAAGAATCAATTGGAAAAATCGGGGGTCAATATCAAATTTGTTATAACTGAAAGGATTGTAATAACCAGGGATTGTTATACCGAGGTTAGCCTGTCGTCGAGAAAGGAGCACGATAGTCCCAATAAGAGGAGAAGCCAAAGGCCTTAAACACGTTGGCTTATGTATTTGAGTACAGAAATACTTCTCGTAAGACATGCATACACGTGTGTGCCGCCAGAATATTGGAAGTATTACATGTTGTTATTTTAATATTTAATATTGTAAGATTTAATATGTTACTTTTTTGAAATATGCATGAACCTGGCACAAGCAAATACATTTTGCTGCAAATGAGTCTATTGTGTTCCTAATATTAATTGTAACATTTGTCCTTATTATTTAAACTTTCGTCAAACATCCAGGGCATTTACAAATGGGAGATCCCATTAAACTGCACATCATTGACTCATTGCAAAAAGCTACTGGCATGTAGAACATCCACATGCTTCCCCTCAAATATGGGGAAGAACCTGGATTTAAATTTCCTCGTCATACTTAGAAACCATAATTATAGTTTGGGTGCCAGCCTGGTTCAGTTGGTAGCACTCGCCTCTTGAGTCAGAAGTTTGTAGGTTCAAGCCCCACAATGGGTCTTGGAACTCATATAGTCTCGGCTGACACTGCATTACAGTGCTGGGGGATCACTACATTGTTAGAAGTGTGGTCCTTCAGATGAGACATTAACTGAGGTCTTGTCTGCCTTTTCACTTGGACGCTCAAATCCCATGGCACCATTTGAAAAGAGAAGGGAGTTTTCACTCTGTGTCCTAGACAACAATTCTCCAAATACATTTGGCCACATCTTGGCTGTATGTATGATGTGCACAAGTTGCTGCCACAGTTGTCTACAAAATACAAAGTGCCAACACTTTACAGTAAAATCCAGTGAAGTGTTTTGAGACCTCCCAACGTGAAAAGCGTTATACCAAATGTAAGGCTTATTATTTAATGTTTGATGTATTGTGCTCCTTTCTGTAACCTTTTAATTCGCTGTGTATTCCGTTCCAGGAATTGATGACATTCGATAGACAGTGGGCCTGCTTTTTTNCCAACTTTGACATCGAGGGTTCCTCCTCCATACTGGAGATTTCAGAGGCACAGGCTGGAGAGGTGAGAAACGGAATGAGAAATTACCGCTATTTTTTTNCAAATAAACGCAAACTCTTGCAAGACTTAAAACTATTAGCTTTCCAGGCCGGACTATCCAGAATGGGGATGTCCAGTTCACTTGCTGGCTTTTCGATGTTCCTGAGTTATAAGCAAGCAGGTTCATTTAACCCTGAAATGTCCCAAGTGCTATGCTGTCCCAAACTCAAAGTAACTGGAGAACCAAACCTTACGGTTTATTGCTGTGGGAAGTCTTGAGTCAACACAGTGATGATGAATCAGGATAGACACTTTGATAGTGAAGCTTTGTTTTAGTCTTAACCGTCTCCACTTGACTGGATGTTTCTCAAGATAACTCTCCAGTCTTGGCTTCAAGTTATAGTTTGTTGCTACACCCAAACCCAACTCATATATTTCATTACTGTTTCTCCCTCATTTTTCCCCATTGTCCCATCCCCTCTCTTCCCCCTCCCACCTTTTACAGCCCCTTGCCTCCTCATATGCCTCCTACAGCTGGAAGAGCAGATACATGGGCTGCAGACTTCTGCATGGCTTCCAACACCAATGCCCTTCCATGGATCAACTGACGGGAGGCATGCTGGTAAGGGGTTGACGTGCCAGTTATTAAACCCCTTGTTGGGCTTCTGGACTACTCTTGGCAGTATCCCACATACTCTGTCCATCTGAAAGCAAAGGCCGAGTTGACAGTACTGTGGAGTACAGAACCTGCATATTGCATGAGGGAGAAGTGGGCCTTGATGTCTATGTATGTTTTAAGTTATGAATTCAGTTATAGACTTAAGTTTTTTCTTTCTTTCGTCTTGATATTGTAATCATTTTGTATTTGATAAGCATGTGTCGTACCAGCAGCATTTAAGAGTGATCAATGCCTATTTAGTCGCTTACGTCCATCATACTTCTAACATTTGCAGGTTGTGTAAACGGTTCCATTCAGTTAGATAACTGGTGGAGTTAGTGTAAGCTGCATTACTGGGCTTTCATTGCCCATTTGAATGTGACCACTGCTGTACAATCTGCTGCATACCTCTCCAATTTAATCTCCCCCCTCCCCGCTTTCTAATACAGTTTAGCATAGAATGTTGCATCCCATTTCACCTGTGGCGATAGCCGAGAAACAAGCCATTCAGCTGATGAAATCCCATGGACACGGCCTCAACAAGGGGTTGTTTGTGGCACAGAATTCAACATTCCGGTCACCCTTTGTGCCACAAAATGTTTTCTAACCTCCGCATTTTAATTCTTTTTATCATTATTTTAATGTGGAGCCCTCTCTTTACTGACGTGCCGAATCATGGAAATGAGTTGAAGATTATTTTTTGTTTCAAATACAACAGCTAGGAAAGCATCTCAAAGCGTTTCACAAGTACATTGTGGGAACAACAGCTTGCATTTATACAGCACCTTGCACGTGGGTAGTTTCTCTGAACGCTTAATATTGGTGGAGCTTGATGCCAAGCTAGGGAGAGGAGAGATGATCATAAGCACGGTCGAAGAGGAAGGTCTTCAGATGTGATTTGAAAATAGGCAAAGGGGGGGTAATGCGGAAGGATTGAGGCAGAGAATTCCAGAGTTTATGGGCATAGTGGCTGAAGGCACAGTTGCTGATTGTGGACCATCAGCAAGGAAGTGTAGAAGGCTGGAGCCAGCTGACAAACCAGTTACTTATTTCAGCAAGCTTTGGGAAGAAGTCTACATTCACTCTTGGCTTTTCAGAGAGTTGGTAATGTAGAATTGTTGAATTCAGGCTTGAAGCCGATTTTCTGCCGTTCTTAAAAAGAAACGTGCAGAAAAATGGCTGCAAAAGTAAACCGAAATCTAGAACCAATTCAATTTCTACAACCCACCTCCCCCATAGGATCATGTGCTTCAAGTTTGTAAAAGCATTTCTAAACCATTGTATGACCATTATTCACATGAATGAATAATATAGCAAATATTCCAACTTTTGTTTGCACAGGATGTACAGTACTTTTTAGAGATCTATTTTCTTTTTTAGCCTTTCAGAAGTTACTTCAGCCACGGGTTAATAACCAGCCACATTTCGGACAAAAGGTATTCGTTACAGTGCAATTTGTATCCAGATTTCATTACTGTGCAAAGTGCTTACTATGTGATTGTACTTAGTCTCTGCACCCTTCCTTTGATGACTACAAATTGTAGCATTTCCGAAACAGAAGGATGCTGCCTCAAGAAGGGTTATAGCACAGAATTCCACATCCCATTCACTGTGTAAAGGAATATTTTCAAACATCCCCCTTTTTTGCCATTATTTTAACTTTGAGCTCTATCTTAATAAAAATATAATAATAATCTTTGCATTTGATATTTTGATTTGAGTTTGTGCATCCTACAGCTGGAAGGATCCCGAATGTCGGCAACTGAAAAGTCAGAATAAGCAAATGCCTCGACTGTTTGTGGGGCACTGCTGTGTGCAATTGGCTTCCATGTTTTGCCCACAAAATATACAGTCAATTCACTTTACGATATATTCTGTGAAGCGCTTTGAGACGTCTCAATGATGTGATAAGGCGCTATATCAAATGCAAGGATAATATTATAAAATACATAGTCACACCACTTTACAGAATGTCCTGTAAGCGCTTTGACAATGTGATAATGCGCTAAATTAAATGCAAGGATTATTATTCTCAAAGTCTTCAGAATATTCCAATTTGAAGATTTCTGTCAAATCTTCTCTGGGTATTTATTACTGCCAAGTTAAGCAAGAGGGTAAATGATAATGATCAGCATTATAGGGGTATGAAAGGAGACAGTAAATATTAATGCTCTTTATACTTGTTTTATAACACGCTATTCATAACTTTCTTTTCCTTTATTCAGCATCAGTAGGCAACCTTTCATTCTTTTTGGCTGTCACTCAACAAAGGAAAACCTGAACACATACAGTTTCACTTTCCCGTCTGAAGGTCACCTGGTTAGAAATGCGGGCAACCAAGGAGGCACTGCTAAGCACATGGTGGGTACCTCAAATCTCCCTTTCATTTTTGTTGAGTATGCAGTAGAACCCCATTATTCCATCCTTGACTCCCTCTCACCCACCCTCACCTCTTTCGAGGACCATCTCGAGGCCTACCTCTGTGCGCCTTCAGTCATCTTTCCCCTTCGAATCCCTCCTTTGGCTCCCAGGGCCAGCCCAGGTGCCAAGCCAGGAATATTAAGGCCCTTGGGACATCCTCCTGACATGAAAGGTGCTGTGTAAATGTAAATTTTATTATATAATAATGAATTTCATTATGATGTGGGTTTGGTTATAGCAGTGTACCCCACCAAAGTATCTAAATGCAAGTAGAAAGCCGTCCAACTTGCTTGAAAACACTTGTTTCATTAGGCCCCCATTGCTATCACTTCCTGCATGCTGGGCACGGGAAGTGATGTCAGCAACCTGATGACCTGGAAGTCAGCCTTTTCTTGGTGCTCAAAGAGCCAGAGATTTGAAACTCAAGCACTGCAACAACAACAGCAGCTTGCATTATGTAGCGCTCTTCACTCTATATAATATGGGGCGGGGAAGGGAGGTAGTATCTCAGAGCACTGTCAGGAAGCAATGAAAAGAGTCAGTTTGTGTATCTTTGTTAATGGTGCTGATTTCACCTTTAGTTACATGGGTAGCTTGGTGTAACTTGACCTGTGTTGGCTCAAGGAACTGATGAACCGGCTGCCAGGCCATCACCTCAGCTTTCTCCTTGTTGCTGCTCTACATGGCATAGATAACAGTGATCCTCATACAGGCAGCTTGGGCATGAATTGCCCTCTTGTACTGCTCCATACATTGTGTGTTGCCGCTCTAACCTGCTTCGTTGTTTGACTTTAACTCTGAATTTAAGCACTCTGAGACGCTACCCCTTATGAAGCGCGCTACATAAATAAATGCAAATCATTGTTGAATTGCATTGCTTTATTCTGAAGATATCTAAAGAGATCAGCTTTTTTGGGTTCATCTCTTTTGATTACAAGATCCTCTCACTCATCTATCATCCTTTCATGAATTGGTAAGTCCCTGCTTTTCTGAACTCTTTTCCTACTCCACTACCTGTTGCCTCTGCTTGGCTGGCTCTGGCCTCCTACTTGTCTCTTGTTTCCTCCGTTTCACCATTGTCAGCTGTGCTTTCAGCCACTAGGTCCCTCTCCCTCAAACCCTCCGCCTTGCCCCCTCTTTTAGATCACAAGTGAAGACCTTCCTCTTCATCCGTCACCTGCTCCCTCCCCCCGACTTGTCGGGCTCCAAGTTGGGCTCCGCCAATGCTTAGCCTTCCGGGACACTGCCCCGCGATAAGGGCACTTTATAAATGTAAGTTGTTATTTTGAAATAGACCCCAACATTTACTGACCTAAGTATCTAGAAAGCCGGCCAGCTTGCTTCATTAGGTCACCGCCAATGTTACTTCTTGCACGATGAGCACCTCCAACGTATAGGAAGTGATGTCAGATATCAGGAAGCAATGAAAAGAGTCAGTATGTGTTGTTTGATTCCAGGTGGTGCAATGCGTAGCTCCCAGGGGGGCTTTAGCCTGTTCAAGGACATACTTTTTTGGAACCTCTCATGTGCCTTGCATGGGTAAGTTAATACTTGATTAAAGTGAATTGTTTTTGTGTGAAGCCAACCAAATGTAAAATTAACTTGTTTTGTTCTACCTCTTTCCTTCAGGCAATGACAATGAGCAACCTAGAAACAAAGAGCTCACGTAAGTATAATTTTCCTATTGACTTAATGTTGTGAAGTGTTGAACTCCAGTGCTTTTTTCTCACACAGAAATATAAATAATGAAATGTATCTGATTTTAAAAGCCCTGTTTCTATTTTAAAGAAACGTAGAGCCTTTCTCCCGTTATCCTGGTTTATATTCAACTCCTCATCCACTCTCTCGGGGGAGCTCTGCATTACCGGAGCTGCCATGGTAGAGATTAAGATGCATGTTAAAGATATTGTGGCACTATTTGAAATGTGAAGGAAGTTTCTCCTGGTGTCCTGGCAAACTATCACTTAGATAAAATCCATTATTCACCTTGTGGCTATTTGTGGGATACTTTTTTGTGTGCAATTTGGCTGCCGTTTTGCCTATAAAGATACATTAACTACAATTAGCAGTAAATCAAATGATGTGCTTGGATGCATTAACAAGAGTTAAAGTACAATATTTTTCAGTCACTATTATTACTTTTGTCCTTTTCTCAGGGTGTTGCCTCAGATCTATGTGGCTGCAGTGGAAGCCGTGCTAGCCAGCATCCAATGCTACACAGAAACCTCCAGCGTAAAGAGAGTGAGTGACTTGTAGAACTCAGCTGTTGACAAGTCTGTAAATATTAATAATATATTAATGACGCGTCTCGACGATGTGATAAGGTGCTATATATAAGTGCAAGGATTATTATTTGCAGATAGATATTGTGGCACAAGCAGGTAAACATTTACTCAGCGTGTACTCTGTTATTTTGTACTTGTTGCGGGATATTGCAGAAGACGTGGACCCAAGCTGTAGTACTTCCCAAAGACCCTCCGACTCGCTCACTCTCTCAAAGCCTGCTTCAAGACTTGTCTCTTTGACATTTTCAGTTATTTTGCTCCCCACTCTCTTTGACTCCCATCACCCAGCTCGGCTGCCCAGCCGGCAATGTGAAGAATTCTGAGATGTCCTCCTGACATGAAAGGAGCTGTATAAATGTAAATCGTGTTGGGTTGATGAACAAACAAGTTCACTTTCTGCTTCTACAAGTCTTCTGCAATTTATTTGTTGATTTCCATAGCGTTCGAGTCACAAATTTAGGGACTGTTCAGATGGGACTTGACTTGAGGGGGACCCACCCATCCCCCAATTTCAAATCACCTTGTAGCCCTGTTTCATTAAAATTAGTCACTCACGGCTGTTCGTGGGACATTGCTGTGTGCATTTTGTCTGCTGTGATTTCCCACTGAATACTCACAGTCGCACCACTTTACAGTAAACTCTGTGAAACGCTTTGACGGGTCTCGACGATGTGATAAGGTGCTATATATAAGTGCAAGAATTATTATTGTTGTCCAGATTCATCCGAGTAATTCTGTAAATGATTGTGTTCTTTGTTGGTCTTTGCAGTCCGCAACTTAGCTTGCCATGTGTCTCTGTGACAATATTCTATTTGGTTCATTTCTGATTCTGTTCTGTCAAACACTTCAAGATTTTTTTCTATAATGTGAAGAGCATTGTATATATGCAAATCTATCCTGGGAGATGGAGTAAGGTCATTCTTATTTACTTATCCTGTTCTCAGGCCAAAGAAGTTGCTGAGGATGTGTTTCTCGCGACGTTAGATCGCTACAGTCTCACTCAGTTGAAAACTCTCCTAAGGTAATGAGCGTCACTTTGTGTCTGTGCTACAGAGGTTTTGTGCGAGTGACTAACACTCGACGATGATGAAGCAATTAACAGATTAAGCGTTCCACAGCCGCATGGTAATTCCTCTATACATTTCTCTATCCTTTCTCTCGTTTTCTCTCTCTCTCATTATCTTCATCATTCTCTCTCTCTTGTTCTCTTGTTGTCTCTCTCATTCTCCCTCAATCTCACTCTCAATCTCACTCTTTTGTTATCTACCTCTCTCATTCTCTCGTTATAACTCGCTTTCATTCGCACTCTCTTTCTCCCTCTTTATCATTCTTACTATCTCGGTCATATGAACATAGGAACAGGAGGAGGCTACTCAATCTCTTGAGCCTGTTCTACCATTCTATTAGATCATGGCTGATCTTTCCCCCTCTCACTCTGTTTTTTTCTCTCTCTCACCGTCTCATTTTTTCCTCTCCCTCATTCTTTCTCCCTCTCATTTTCTTCTCTCTCATTTTATGTATAATTTTTCCCACCCCACACACACCCAAAACCCCTGGATTTGATTCCAGTCTGTATCTCACTGCCTTATTTTATATCTAACACTACCCCACCCACCTCCAAAATCCCTTGTGTGTGCATTACTCTATATATGACCCCCCGAACCCCTGGATTAGATTAAATTCCGGCCTGCAACGCACATCTATATATAAATCTCATAGCATATTGGTTAGAGCACTTGCCTCGCAAGCAAGAGGACCCGGGTATGATTTCTTGGCAGGGTGAAACCTTGGGCAAGTTTTGTTACTCTACATGCCTCTGTTTACCTAGCTATAAGTAGGAACTCGGTTGTTAGTGGATTAGCGGATCGCTTTCCGGAAGTAATAATCCCTTCAAAAAATAATAATAATTTGGTCACTGTTTCTGGGTCACTGCTGTGCGCAATTGGCTGCCGCGTTTTGCCCATAAGATATACAGTGTATTCTGTGAAGTGCTTTGAGACATCTGAAAGACGTGGTAAGGCTCTGTATCAAATGCAAGGATTATTATTTATTATAATTTTTACATTGAAACTCCAAACATCCCTCTAAATCTTGTAATCCAGTGTTACTGGGATGGAAGACCAAATCCCAGATGCATCTGTTTAATTGTTAGCGGAGGTGAATTTCCTTCAACTGCCCTTAAAGAGCTAATTTAGTTTACTTTAATAAGAACTAAATTGTACTATCGGTCCTGGACAGGCTCCTCTAACATATAATGTCCCATTAAAAATGCCAGAACAACATATGTAGTCGTATTATTATAGAATCATAGAAATTTGCAGCGCAGAAGGAGGCCATTTGGCCCACCAAGTCTGCACAAGCTAATGTTATCCAAAGCCAGCCAGGGAAGGTTCATGTGCATTCACCTGTGTAACATTGAGTTTTAATAATCATAGAATCCTAGCATATTACAGCACAGAAGGAGGCCATTTGGCCTATCGTGCCTGTGCCGGCTCTTTGGAAGAGCTACCCAAACAGTCCCACTGCCCTGCTCTTTCTCCATATCCTTGCACGATTTTCCTTTTCAAGTACCTATCCAGTTTCCTTTTGAAAGTTGTTATTGAATCTGTTTCCACCACCCTTTCAGGCAATGTATTGCACACCACAATAACTCTCTGTATATAAAAAAAATTCTCATCTACCCTCTGGTTCTTTTGCCATTTATCTTGAATCTATGCCCCCTGGTTACTGACCCACCCTCCAGTAGAAACAGTTTCTTCCTATCTACTCCCATCAAAACCACTCATAATTTTGAACACCTCTATTAAATCTCTTAACCTTCTCTGCTCTAAGGAGAACAATACCAGCTTCTCTAGTCTCTCCACATCACTAAAGTCCCTTATCCTTGGTACCATTCCAGTAAATCTCCTCTGCACCCTCTCCCAAGGCCTTGATATCCTTCCTAAAACTTGGTGCCCAGAATTGGACACAATACTCCAGCTGAAACCTAACCATCTTGTTCGGCGGTCGGTCATATACAAATAAAACAACAGTGTCTATCTGCGCTTCAAGAAGGATCTCTGTAGCGCAGTGGTTAGAGCACTCACCTCGCAAGCAAGAGATCCGGGTTAGATTCTGAGCAGGGCGAAACCTTGGGCAAGTTTCCTTACTCCACACACCTGATAATAATCCCTCCAAAAAATACAATAATAAATTGGTCATTTTCAATCCACGACTGTTTGTGGGACACTGCTGTGCACAATTGGCTGCTGCGTTTTGCCCACAAATATACAGTCAATTCACTTTACAGTGTATTCTGTGAAGCGCTTTGAGACGTCTAGAAGACGTGAAAAGCGCTATATCAAATGCAAGGATTATTATTATCTCAATAACCGATTGACATGGGGACATGATTTATACCTCATCAAAAAGATCTTGCATCTTGGAGTGAAATAGCCATATTTGTTTTCGGGTATCTCCTATCGTTTATGAGTTATTTCAGTTTTGCGTTTTTCGCTGCAGTTACACCTGGTGGCTGCCATGTCAAAGTTGCGTTGTGGCATCCTGCATTGCAGAGCACGCACATAGCCAAGTTGCGGGAACAAAATAAAGAACACAGACGAAGCTAAGCTGCGGCAACTACAACAAAATTACATTTTTAAAGCGCCTTTCACGTCGGGAGGTCGTCCCAGTGATTATAAATTATACATTTATATTTATTGTAAAGATGCCTAAGGGAAAATCAAACCTTTCAAGGATAAGTAAAAATGCTAGACAAAAGGGAGAAGGCTCATTAAATGAAACTGAAGAATAAAGTCCTCCCACAGGAATCTTCCCAGATGAGTATAGATAAAGATTAAATGTGTGTCTGTCTGTGTGTCAATCTACATTCCATATTGGATTCTTTGATTGCAAACAAAGCTGCGACGGGTACAGCTATTTGATTATAAATGTTCAGCAGAACTTCCTTGTTTTTGTACTCTATGCCTCTATTTATAAAGCCAAAGGATCCCATATGTTTTTTGACAGCTCTATCAATCTGTCCTGCCACCTTCAAAGACCTGTGTATGTGAACTCCCAGGTCTCTCTGCTCCTGAACCGCCTTTAAACTGTACCCATTGAGTGTATATTGCCTCTCTTCATTCTTCCTTCCAAAATCACCTTACACTTCTCTGCATTAAACTTCATCGGCTACGTGTCTACCCACCTCACCAGTCTGCCTATGTCCTCCTGCAGTCTGTTACCATCCTCCTCACTGTTTACTACATTCCCAAGTTCTGTGTCATCTGCAAACTTTAAAATTTTGCTCTCTATACCCAAGTCCAAGTCATTTATGTATATCAAAAAGAGCAGCGAACCTAATACCAACCCCTGGTATAATGTTTTTTACCCCTGTTTTCATCCACAAAATACATACTTTACAGTATATCCTGTGAGATGTCTCAATGACGTGTTAAGGTGCTGTATCAAATACAAGGATTCTTATATTATTTTCAGTGCTGTAGGTTAAAGATTTTTTTTTCTGCCACTAAATGTTATCTTTGAGCATTCCTCAGTTCTTTATTTAACTCTGTGTATCAGTTTTGCATGTATCTATTCTGAACAGTGTCTTAAAGGATTTTGTATATTAAACTTGCTTTCTTTTAATCTGCAGATCAAAATTATCCTTCTTTATACAAGCTGTGAACAGCCAAGGAAGGTTAGCGTTCTTTCACTTGTTTTGTATAGTGTTTGAATAATATTAATTCTTTTTTCCCTCTATCTCGCATTGTGTTGTGAAGCGCTTTGGGACTTTCTCCCAGTGTGAAAGACGCAATGTCAAATGAGAGGATTTTTATAATATAACATTCCTACTCTCATTCTCAACCTGGTGATCGGTATCGGTAAGATTGGGTACTGGTTATTGTGAAGAATTACAATGGTAAGACATACTCTCAGCATGCTCCCACTTGCTGACGCATTATACTTGTGCTAGTGGAGTGCCTCTTGGGCATGAACTATACAGGAAAGGTTGAAAGCACTTGACTTTTCAATGTAATCACAATGACAAATCTGTTAGATTGGGAACTGAGATGATTTGTTTGGGTTTGTGCGTGAGTGTGTTTGTGTGTATGTGTGTATGTGTACAGGTATGGTTTGATAGTCAAACTTGTGTCAGATTATTTGATTATGAAAATTGATGCCAAGTTAAAGTCCTGCAGTCAAGAGCGTGGAGTGTTAGAGGTAACTGTGGGTCAGGCCTCCAACAGTGACCTGAATTATCAAATTCAAATGCCAAATACTTGCCAGTGAGATGCCTGAGGGAATAATTCAATGTTTTCTTTCCAATAGAATTGTGTCCTTGGAGAGCCATACAAGCAAGTTCCTCATAAAAACTGTAAGTTTCAGTATTAGGTGTTTCTCTCTCTTCCCCTTCCCTCCCAAAATGGTTTCAGGCTTTAAGACCATGAATGATCAAACCAGAAGGGAATGGCTTTTGATGTTGGTGTTGTCTGTAGCCCTGCACTTGTGACTATAATAATAATAAACTTTGCATCTGATATAGTGCTTTTCACGTCTTCTAAATGACTCAAAGTGCTTCACAGAATAGACGGTAAGGTAATTGACTGTATATTTGTGGGCCAAATGCGGCAGCCAATTGCGCACAGCAGTGTCCCACAAACAGTCGTGGTTTGAAGTGACCAATTTATTATTGTGTTATTTTCTTGAGGGATTATTATTAGGTGTGTGGAGTAAGGAAACTTGCCCAAGGTTTCACCCTGCCGAGAATCAAACCCAGGTCTCTCGCTTGCAAGCAAGTGTTGTAAGCAGTGAGCTTCAGGATTTTACTGAAAATAGGAAGCACCGGGGCTATAATTGGTGCAATTGTCCATAGAGCATTGTTCGATTGTCAGGCTATTGAACTTGAGGACACATGATACTGATACCATAGCTTATATTTTTGAGTGGCAGTTCATGACCCCCACCCCAAATCCACCCCACAAACACACATACATATGCACCACATACTCAGCAATAAATGTCACTGGCTAGCAATTAAGAACAGAAAGCCTAGCTAATATCTGTCTGTGTGCCTCCGTTATAGGCATCGATGTCTGTGTATGACATTCCCGATTTAACTGGAGGGAAAGGAACTTTGGGCTCCGTAGTGTTTTCTGAATCTTTTGTAGAATCCCAGCTGCTTCTGAAAGAAAACGGTAAGTGGTGATCTCCCATATCTTTGCCTCGCCACTTTCAAAACCAGTGCTCCCACCAGCATAGCCTTATATTTGAGTAATCACTTACAAGATTTGTCAAGGCAGAACAAGCGTACACACTAGCACAGCTGCAAAGGGCTATTTCAGAACAGACAATGGGAAGTATTTCTTTACCCAAACAGTAATTGATGACTGGAGTAGGGTTGCCAGAAAGAGGGTTTGAGGCCAGGAAGTTGGGGGCTCATTTAAGAAACATCTTGATGCTATAGGGCGGAGATGCAGGAAGGATGAGGCATCAGTAGCCTTCATCCGAACTTCTCTTGTGACATTGTGATATTCAAGGCAGAAAAAGCTTCAGACTTAGTTTCCAGTGAAGCTCACTACTTTTGGTGGAACGGTAGGAGTGGGAGCAGAGGGTGAAGCACCTGAGCCAGAAGTTGCCTGGGGACCTTATCAGAGCAGGAGCCCTGCTTCAGCCATGATCTAATAGAATGGCTGAACAGTCTTCAGGGGCTGAATGGCCTACTCGTGTTCCTAAGCTTGCCTTACTTACAAGGGTTGGTAAAATGTAAGTTGTATTTTAACCTGTAGCTGGGAATAGGGGAGGAGGCCATGGAGTTGATTCTATAATTGATTCCCATTTCCCTGCAACTATAAATATCCTTACTTCCCAAGTATCCATCTCCCTTTTAAATATCCCGGTTGCTTCTCTGCCTATGCAGCTTTTCAGGCCAATATATTCCTCATTATGAATAAATTCTACCAAATATTAGGTAATAGCCTACTTTTTGGCAATATTAGGTATCTCGGTCATCTTTCCCCTCTCCACCTTCTTGGTGCTCCAATCCGTCCCTCTACCCTGGTCAGGTGCCCAGTCAGCATTGAGAAATGCTTCGAGCTGTCCTCGTGAAGTGAAAGGAGAGGACAGGTCCTGCGATTGAAGGGGGGTGAATAAATAAATCTGTGGAAACACTACATCAGTGAGAGTGGTAAATCTATGGAACGTGCTTTCTTGGAAGTAGAACGTGTTGATTTGTTCAAATGCAAATTAGATAATTTCTTTTAGCAAATATTTTGCGATACAGCATATGAGTAGTTCAGGACATGATATGTGCATGCGACTGCCAGGATGCTGGAAGGTGAACTGGATGGACCTTGATTTTTTTTTTCATCTAGCATTTCCTATGTTCTATGTAAGTAAAGTGAGCTTTTTTTTAAAAAAAGAGACCAAATGGGTTGAGTAATAAATAGGTTATTTCTCTCTTTCCTCTATAGATGGCACTGTGTCTCCAGACAGCAGCTTCATTATCCTCACAGCCATTGTGCCTCGCTATGTCTCCTGGCTGGTAAGTACCAGTGTGTAGTGCTTCAGCAAAAGAGGCTGGGCTTTTTAGACCCTGGGATTTCAGATGAGACTCCGCTCTGCGCAAAGAACGCTATATAATTCCAATGTGTTGTTATTGTAGGAAATTCTCTGGTCAGAAGCAAGAAGGCTTTTAGGCTTTCCACCCTCTGGAACTCCATCCTGGAGCCCCTCGTCTCTTCCTCTTTGACCATGCTTTTGGTCATCTTCCCAGTACCTTCTTGACTCCAGCCCACAGCTCGGGTGTAAACCCTTGCAAATCCTCGCTGTCCAGCGTCTTGGGACGTCCTCCGACACGAAGGCGCTGTATGAATGTAATTTGTTGTTGCTGACAGAGGCAACAATATTACCAAGAGCTAGGCTGGCACTAATTTACTGTCAAGATCCAATGAGTGAGGAATTTTGGTGCCTTGAATATTTGCTCTGGATATAATAATAATAATCTTTGCATTTGATATAGCGCTTTTCACGTCTTCTAGAATAGACTGTTAAGTGAATTGACTATATTTGTTGGCGAAACCCGGCAGCCAAATGCGCACAGCAGTGTCCCACAAACAGTCGTGGATTGAAAATGACCAATTTTTTTTGGAGGGATTGGATATGTATCCATGAAGAGCCACCAGATTAGGCTCAGTTTGCAGGAAACAATTGGCACAAGAAGATATTCTCCTGGAGCTAACAATGTACTAAGTGTTGAGAATCCACTCCAGTTTAAAGTGATAAAACTTGTTTGGCTTAGAACTGACCTCAGAAAGCAGCTGCTAACACTACGGTCGTACAGCTAACTCCTGGCCCATTTTTAGGGCAAACCTGTAAAGAGTTCACATCTTATTTGTCTTGGAGTCCTGTAGGATAGTGGTAGAACACTCGCCTCACAAACGAAAGGATCCTTGTTCAATTCCCATGCAGGGCAAAACATGCCTCTGTTTACCTAGCAGTAAGTAAGAACCCAGTTGTGAGATAATTGGTGGGTCACTTTCCCAGGGGTAATAAACCTTCAAAAAAAATAATAATTTGGTCACTCAATCCACAACTGTTTGTGGGACAATGCTGTGCACAATTGGTTGCTGCGTTTCTCCCACAAAATATACAATCAATTCACTTTACAGTATATTCTGTGAAGTGCTTTGAGACGACTTGAAGACTTGATCAGGCGCTATATCAAATCAAGGATTATTATTGTCAAAGCGTTAATCCTGAGTCGATCAGTTCGATTTTCTAGCTTTTCAAGTGCAGAATACATTTAATGTAACATAACATAATGTCTCTGTATAAATTGCTCTTAAACTGGGAGCGTCTTAAAATCTTAAACACCTGTTTTTCATGAAAAGTAACTGCATTTACCGGGTGCGGTCACCACAATCTGAATCACGTGTTCTGGGGCTTAAAAGAGGATCCAAAAATGTGCTTTCTTGTGGTTAGTTCTTAAAAAATCCAGAAAGAACAACAATTTACATGTATACAGCCCCTTCATGTGATACAGTTTCGGAGCACTTAATAATGGTATAGTTTGATGCTGAGCCAGGGAGAGACGGCAGGTGACAGTAAGGATGGTCGAAGAGGATGTGAAAAGGGCAAAGAGGGGGCAAGTTGGAGGGATTGAGGCAGGGAGTTCCAGAGGGTAATAAATAACACCTTTCTGGCAGGGTAATGCTCGATGGAGTTGTCCACTCTGCATGTTGCTTGCTGGAGTTTTTTTATTATGTGAGCTGACATTTAATTTGCCAAAACTAACTTTCACCGTAGGAAATCCATCCATTTGGTAACCTGGAGGAACCTCCTGCTGGAAACGCATTGCAAGTCACTGAGTGTAGCTGTTTCAGGGGGCCAGAGTGATGCCTGGGATACCACTTTACAGGGAAATCCCTTCTGGAAAAGTCTATAAACATTCGGCAGTAAATCTAGTTGCTTTAACAATCAAGGAAAAGAGCCACATTTCAGGGGGTTGTTTGGGAATGAGCTGCATTAGTTGGTCTTGTCAGTCAGCCTCCCTAGCCTAGGGAATGGCAAAGAATGGAGGCTGCTTAGGTGTTACTAATAAGTGATTAATAATAGTCACTTGATTATTCCTATAGCCTGTGCCTTATTGTGAAGATTTCTTTCACGTAGTCTACTGGGCGAAGTTGTGTTGCTATCTTAGAAATTATCATTTTGCTTCCTAAGGTTGAGGATCTTGAAGTGAAACGTTCTGAAGAAGCACAACACACCATAAAGGTAATTTTTTTGATTTTTAGCCAAGAGCCACTGTAAAATTCCATTGATGATTTATGGCGCACATTGTTTTGGTCAGCCTCGTGTCTGACACCTGCGGAAACCTATCACTGTACTTAAGAGTAATCAAACTAGGCTGACAGTTCCACATATATCACCACCTATCCATGGAAATTTCCTCGTGTCTGGAATGGACACAGCACTCTCTTTCTGGAGGGATGCACCCTACTTACCTAATTTTAGAGAGTATATCCCCAATATATTTAAATACACCCAGTATTTAACCTAAAGTGGAATCTATAAAGGTTAAGAAAAAAGTACAGCATGGAAACCGGCCACTTGGTCCAACCAGTCCGTGCCAGTGTTTATACTCCACACAAGTCTTCACCCGCTCCTTACTGCTCCCATACCGTTCTATTCCCTCTCCCTCATATTAGGTCCCTCTTAAACGTATCTTTTCTAGTGATGAAAGGCCTAACTTATCCAGTCTGTCCTGATATCAATAACCTGCCAACCCTGGTATTATCCTCGTAAAGCTGCACGGTACTCTTTCCATCACTGCTGTATCCTTCCTGTAGTGTGGAGACCAGAATTGAATACAATACTCCAAATGTGATCCAACAAATATTTGTACAAATTCTACATCACCTCCTCACTTTTAGACTCTCTCTAGATATAAAGCCCCAAACCCCAATGGCCTTTTTTAATACGGCCTTATCAACATGTGTAGCTATTTTCAGAGATTTGAATCTATAAACAATGACCTTCCACATGTGCTTGTGTGACTTAAATTTTTATATGTCCTTAATACATCTGCTGGAATCTGACTATTTTTAGAGAATGTTATAGAGCTCTTTCTGTGTTTTCAGGATGACAACAATTTCCTTGGCACTTTGCTTGCCGGAGGGGACACAGCCTTTGTTCATTCTGGCAATTCAGTGTCCAGACCAGAAGAAGGTAACCATTTGCTTGTTTGCTCAGCTGCAGTTGAGCTGTTGTCTAAATTCTTGATCCTGTAGCGTATTGATTAGAGCACCCACCTCACAAGCGAGAGGCCCTGGCTTTGATTTCTGGGCAAGGTGAAACCTTAGGCAAGTTTTTTTACTCCACACGCCTCTGTTTACCTAGCAATAAGTAGGAACCTGGTTATTAGTTGATTAGCGGATCGCTTTCCGGGGTAATAATCCCTTCAAAAATAATAATAATTTGATCACTGAATCCCCGACTGCTTCTGGACACTGCCGTGCGCAATTGGCTGCCATGTTTCGCCCACAAAAGACCTCATTGCTTAAAAAGGGAAGGGAGATCCATAATTGACCTCAGTGTTTTGGGGTTAAGAACGCAAAGATCCAGCCAGGAATCCCATTCCTGATGTTCAATATTGAGTTCAAATAGCATTTTGCTGTGAGAAGTCTCACTGTCAGATCAACACTAGTAGAATAACATAGAATAACGCGTAGAATAACATCTCAGAGAGTCTTACAGGAGCATGGATGGACACCGAAAAGGAGAGAAGGGGGAAATAGGAGGCATAATAATAATCCTTGAAGTTGAGGCGCTTCACAGAATATATTTTAAAATGAATTGACTGTGTATTTTATGGGTGAAATGCAGCAGCCAATTGTGCACTGTCGTGTCCCACAAACAGTTGTGGATTGAGCGAACAAATTATTTATTTTTGGGGGTGCAGGGATTATTACCCATGGAAAGCAATCCGCCAATCGACTATAATCATCCGGGTTCTGATTAGCTGCTAGGTAAACAGGCATGTGGAGTAAGGAAACTTGCCTAAGGTTTCGACCATAAGCGCCATTAAAGAGAGATTTCAAGGCAGGATTTGAAGACGAATGGGGCCAGACAGAGGGGTTGAAGGAGAGAGTTCCAGAGGTCAGAATCGTAGAATCGGAAAGCTCAGCCACCAATGTGGCGCGGGGTGGGGCAGGAGGACGTGCAGCAAGTCTTGAGTTAGCTGTGCGGAGCGGGCATGTACAGGTCACCCACTAACTTTCATTGGTATAAATTCAGGCATGAAGGACAGGTGCTTCTTGGCAGACGGTCCAGATTGAGCTGCATAGTAGCAACGGTACTGCCTCGGGGAAGGAGGAGAAGCATGGGAAGGCAATGCACGGGAAGTTGATCTGTTGATGAATTATTGCCTATTTTAATTTCAGGTAAATTGTTCATCTTGTCCGAAGGAGTTCTCTTTGTTCATCCTCGTTACGGGAGCTTCACAGTTTCAAAGAATCATATGACTGCACTCAAATGTTATGACGGGGTAAGTGCTTTAGGTTCAATAGGAGTGGGTCAGTGTGCATCAGTCTGGCTCAGTGGAATCACTCTTACCTCTGAGAAAGAAGGTTGTGGGTTCAAGCCCACTTTGGGACCTGGAATCACAGAGTCTAAGCTGACACTCCAATGCAGTACATTGTCGGAGGTGCCATCCTTTGGATGAGACGCTAAACCTAGGCCCCACACCATCTATGCCTGTGCAGGTGGACAGTAAAGATAGGAAGTTTCTCTCTCCCGGTGTTCTGACCAACATTCCCCAAATAAAATTGGTCACTCACTCCATTACTGTTTGTAAGATGTTAACACAAAGTCAATCCACTTTACACTGTATCTTGTGAAGTGCTTTGAGACAGCTCGATGTGATAAGGCGCTATATGAAGTGCATGGATTATTATTACTATCATTGCAACTCTCCATTGATTGAGTCTTGCTCCTTTGGGGAAATATTTAGCTGAAAGGTACTATGTAACTGTCCTGTTTAATTCACTTCGCACACAATTGTGACTGAAAAGCATGTATAAATCTAACCCATTGGTCATTATACAAATAAAATTTGATCGTTCACTTCATGCCTGTTTGTGGGATGTTGCTGTACACAAATTGTCTGCCAAGTTCACCTGCAAAATAAACAGTCACTACACTTTACAGTGAATCCAGTGAAGCGCCTTGCGACGTGAGAATAAGTGTAATTTTGCATTATATTGTTTTTTAGTTTTAGAAGGCTTCCATAAACATTGATTTAGTTATTTAATTAAAGATGCGTACTGCTAACTTTATTACCAAATGGTTGATATTGAAACATTTTCCCTCTTGGAAACCATCCGCTTGGCATGAAAGTCTCCTCTCTTCACTAACACTTATTGTTAAGTGTTCGGCTGGAAAAACGAAAGTGACAATAAGCGGAATCTGCTTTGTTTGTTTTGGCGCACTCAATGAAAGATTAAATTGTTTAATATCAGTTTTTTTGTTTAATTTAATTCTTTAAATTGTTTAATGCTTGTCCCCCACATACAAAAAAAAATCTGCTGAGACAAAAGAAAAATCCTTGGCAACTGAGCCCAACTGTCATTGTGTAATTGTTCCTGTTCAGAATTGCTTTGAATATTTTTATTTCCTGCTATGCTCCGTGTCAGCAGCCATTAGTGCAATGTTGAATAAAGACTATTTTTGTCCCAGGCGATTCTTTTCACAATGTACTATGGTCTTGAGGGAACACGGACAGCTCTTAAATTCTGCCTGCGTTGACTCCCGTGGCCAAGTGCCTCACCTGCCTTGCGGCCTCTTTGCCCATCTTCATATCACGTCTGAAGACTAACAGTGCAATTAGTTTCTTTTTTATAAAAAAAATGCATCCAAGTTTTTTCTCCGACTTGAACCTGGATTCAAGTTTATGAACTCCCAGTTGACTTGTCTGGCCAACTTTGCACCAAATGGTGCCTTAACCAATTAGACCTTTGCACAGCTCAACATCCAGTTTTTCTATTGATCGCTTAACAAAAAAAAAGTGGTCACTCATTCCATGACTGTTGTGAGCAATTGGCTGCCGCGTTTCACCCACAAAATACAGTGAATTCACTTTGCAGTATATTCTGTGAAGAGTTTTGAGACCTCTCAACGACGTGATTAAGGCACTATATAAGGATTATTATTATTATTAAGGTGTATCCCTCTTCCTAAAATCTAAAGAATGTTCACAGCGCACAAAAACACCATTTGGCCCATCCTCTCCATGCTGGTGCTAACTCTGTTTAATCTAAACCCATTCCTCTGCGACCTTCAATGCTGTTATTCTGTGAAATGCTTATAAGAACATAGGAAATGCTAGACGAAAAAAGACCAAGGTCCATCTATTTCGCCTTCCACCTTCCTGGTGGTCACATGTACATATGTCCCAATCTGCCTATGTACTATATCCCATAATGTTATTTCCTAAAAGAAAACTATCTAATCTGTGTTTGAAAGAATCAACACTTACTGCTTCAACTGGTTCCCTAAAGAGCTCGTTTCACAGGTTCACTATTCGCTCACTGAAATAGTGTTTGCGTAGATTTGTTCTGAATGTCCCCCCCTTCAATTACAGGCCGTGGCCTCTGGTTTTATTATTCTGGACAAGTTGAAACAGCCTGTCATGATATATATTGTCTTGCTCCTTTAGAATCATAACAACAACAATCATGTTGCCTCTCAATCTTCTCTTTTCCGGTGTGTATATGCCCAATTTACTTAGGCATTCCTCATAATCCAGTCCTTCCATTCCCTCAATCATTTTGGTTGCCCTCCTCTGTATCCTCTCGATTTCTCCAATATCTTTTTTGTATTGCGGTGACCAGAACTTACACAGTACTCTAAGTATGGTCTCACCAATGATTTATACAGTGGCAGGATTACCCCATTATTTCGGCTTGTTATTGATCTTTTGATTCATCCCAACATCTGGTTAGCTTTACTCACTGCAACAGAGTATTGTTGAGAGAACTTCAATTTATTGTCAATCATGACCCCAGGCCCTTTCATTTTCTATACGTATTATTTTCCTTCAATTCACTGTTAAAATCTGACACTGCCTCGGCTTCATTGCTCATTTGTGGTAAAGCTTTCCGAACACTCAACACCCTCTGTGTAGCCCAGAATGAACGGAATAATGGAATATTGCAACGCTTGTGTTATTTTGGGATGGTACCAACAACAATGACTTGCATTTGTATAGTGCCCTTCATGCAGGAACACTACATGCGAAGGCAAGGCATGACAGAGTCTGGACAACATCTGGCCAATTGGTTGGCAGAGTGCATGGTTACCATTTCATTGCCAAGTGTCTCTGATAAGCATATGGTAGAAACCCATTCATAGAACCCTACAAATCGAATCACTGATTCAAGCTCCTCCACTGGAATGAACTCTCATCCATATACCTGTACTGTCTCCCCTTGGAGATTGGCTTTGAGCTGCAGTGCTATGTAAGTGCAAACTGTTGTTGATGTAAACTGTTGTTTGTAAGATTGAGTAAAGAAACAACAACAGATTTTATATAGCGACTTTCCCGGTGGGAGGATGTCCCAAGACTCTGAGAAACTTTGTGGGACAATGCTCTTTGCAAATTGGCTACTATTAACATGAATGAGACACTGTAACAAATTTAAGCCACACAATAACTGAAAAAAAATCTAGTTTCTTTCTCCCTGTATTCCTTCTCCCTGTACCGCAAGTTCTGAGCTCATATAAAATGGAAGCAGAGAAATAGTTAATGAAAAAATATTAACTTGTAAAAGCTATCGTTTGCATCTCAACAAACTCCAAACATCTGGCAGTGTGATGCTATAGCCTTGCAGGGCATCTATAAATGAGGTTCTCATTACTCCCAAGTGAAATGCCTACTAAGTAGAAAACAGATTTCGCCTTTTTTAAAAAAAATCTTTGTTCTATTGTGTATTTGCTTCACAGCCCATAAAGTTGGGGCCCCTCACAGTTTACCCGATCTTCCTTGGGAAATCCTCAAATAATCGTCAGTGCTGTTTCATGAGAAGCTCCTATATATATTTTTTTATATATATATATATATATTTTATATATATATTGTATTCCCTCAGTCCAACTAACAAAAGAGTTGAGACTGGCAAATGCAGGGGATAGAATTTTTTTCACACAGAGTGGTCAGGATATGGAATGCCCAGCTGGAATCCTTGTTTGAAGCAGAATCTGTATTAGCTTTCAAAAGTAGATTATAGCTATAATAATAATAATCCTTGCATTTGATATAGCTCTTTTCACGTCTTCTAGACATCTCAAAGGGGTTCACAGAATATACTAAAAAGTGAATTGACAATATATTTGTGGGCAAAACGCAGCAGCCAATTGCGCACAGCAGCGTCCCACAAACAGTCGTGGATTGAAGTGACCAAATTATTATTGTTTTTTTTCTTGAGGGGTTATTATTAGGCGTGTGGAGTAAAGAAACTTGCCCAAGGTTTCGCGCTGCCGAGAATCAAACCCAGGTCTCTCGATTGTGAGGCGAGTTCTCTAACCACTGAGCTACAGGACTCCTGATCGATATTTGAAATGGAGTATTTGGTATTTGGTGGGGGAGAGGGCGAGCGGAAGGCAGGTTATCGGGACTGAAAGGATTGCTCTTAAAAGATCTAGAGAAGACACTGGGCCAAATTACCTTCTTGATAATAATAATAATAATCGGGCTTCAAAATTAACAACAACAATAATAAGCCTTGCATTTGATGCACGTCTTCGAGGTGTCTCAAAACCTTCACAGAATATACTGTAAAGTGAATTGACTATATATTTTGTGAGTAAAACCCAGGAGCCAATTCACCCAGCAGTGACCCACAAACAGGATTAAGTGACCAGTAAAAAAGTAATTTTTTTTCTGTCCAATAATTTTTTCTGGCAATTGTTTGGAGGGAAGATTGTGAATATTGATTTAGTCGGGGATTTAAAACGATTGAGTCCCACGGTCTTAGTGTTAAGACCAAGGCTTTAACATTTAAAATTGCACAGAATTTTGGAAGATTCTTGAATTCAGTATAGATTTGGAAACCGATTTCCTACAGGTGTTAAAAAGATCTACTATAATAATACTGATGTGGCACCATGTTATCTCTAAATGGTTCATAGCTCCTTACAGTTTTCTGAAAAGTGTACCTATGTATTTTATAGGTTGCAAACAGCAGCCGATTTACACACAGCAATGTTCCACAACCTGAGGAAGATGGTTCCAAATTTTTCCGATATTCCACACAATCTTAAGGATAAGACTGGTGTATTTCACCCATGAAGGAGAGCAACCCTATGGTTGCGGTTAACAGATGGGATTATATTTAGACATTTTGTTGGTTACGTTTGTCATTCAATACTTTCATTGGGTCAAAACAGGCAACTGTTGCATTGCCCTGGCAATCATCCTGTTCCATAAACTGACTCAGGACACTTTGACCTCGATTCTTGTAGCCCATATGTTGTAACTAATGAGTTTTTTTTTGACAAACACAGGATTCACCAGGTGTTGTTGTCACACTTATTATTGAGTACAAAGAATCGCTCCTTCCACATCTGCCCATTCAGTTACACTCTGCAACAAACTGCCTGATCTTCACTCTCATGCCAAGATCCAAAATCTACAAATTGTTTTACTCCAAGGTAAGCAAAGTAGTTCCAGTCTGTTAGTGTGTCCGCTTGTCCTCATTGGCAACATAAGCAGAGTTGTAAAGTCGGCAAAAAATTTTTTAGTTGTGCCATTATTCCCCCCGATAGGGAGACAAACCTGCGCAAGAGCATAGAGAAATGAGCGCACAAGTGTGCAATTAGAGAGAATGCTTGTAGGTGGACGTTTAGAGAGATGTGTGCCCACCTCGTAATATACCAATAAATCTTTTCTGTTCTTTCATTGTTTTGTCATACCCTTGCTACCTCAAGACAAATTCAGCATTAGTGATTTCTTTTTCACCTAAAAATTGGTTCTGCTCTTCCATTCAGGTGCTGACTCTGTGGCAACAGATGGGAGATTCTGGGATTGCATTAAAAATGTGTCAGATTAATCATCTGACGGAGGAGCAGCAAAGGCTGTAAGTAGGTTGCTACGTCTTGATCAAGAATATGTAAATTCACACAGTCGCACCACTACAGTATATCCTGTGCAGCGCTTTGAGACATCTCCGCCATTTGGAAACCTGCTTCTAAATTACGACTAAATTTAAGAATCTTCCAAAAATCTGCCTAATCTTAAATTTTAAAGCCTTGGTCTTAAAGTTAAGACCGTGGGACTCCATAATAACACTAATAATAATCCTTGCATTTGGAAAAGCGCCTTATCAGGTCAGAAGGACGTCTCAAAGCGCTTCACAGGATTTACTGTGAAATGGAGTAACTATATTTGTCGCCAAATCCCAGCCCCCAGTGACTGGTCTGCCCCTCCAATTCCTGCTGATGAGCCAGACTGGCTGTACTGTCATCAGCAGTGCCTAGATATACTGCGGATTCACCTTGTTCAGGAACTAGACTAGAAACCGCCCTAGAGGGTGGGCTTGATTCCGACATTCCATTGCCAAGCATGTCATCTTGGAGCCAGTTCAGCCCCAAGGAAATCTTGCTTATCTTACCTGACTTATGTAATGATGGGCAATAATAAAGTTCAGGAATTCTCTCAATCCTACTGAAATAATATTCCTTTTTTTAAAATGTTTATATAAAGTGCCGCTAACATGACACTGCATTTCAGTGTAATCCTTGAATGTTGTGCTCTTCCCAATAGACACTTTGACCTGCAGAAGCTCTTTGAGGTCAGGTCTATACCAATGGATGAAGGTTCAAGCCTTCTGAAAGTCATCTGTGCTAACCTCCCGGAACTTGACGTGTAAGTTTTCCTTTTATTTCACCACATTTTTATCAAATTATTTATTGTGTTTTCAATATCTGGCCGTCCATCACTGCTACTTCTGTAGCTGCTAAGGAAAGGGAACTTGTAGAAAGCGGGCTTCAAAATTTACAATAAATTACATTTGTGTAGCGCCTTTCATGTCGGGAGGACATCCCAAGGCGCTGGGTTTCCACCTAAATTGGGGGTTGGAATCAAAAGAGGGAAAGGCAAGGGATTGGGAGGTTGACTGAAAGCACGGTCAAAGAGGAAGGTCTTGAGATGGGCCTTGAGAGGCAAGGGAGAGGTGAGGCAGAGGGGCTCCGGCATGGATTCCAGAGCGTGGGCAGAAAGACTGAAGGCCAGACCAATCAAAGGCAGCGAGAGCAGGGTGGGGATGTGGAGCAGGGGGAGCGGACATGTTGGTAACGTTTTAGTAGGTCACAGAGGTAGGGAGGGGCAAGACTATGAAGGGCTTTAAAAGAGAACAATAACAATAAATTACACTTGTATAGCGGCCTTCACGTCGGAGCGACGTCCCAGGGTGCTGGACAATTGGGTTTTGGACCTGAGCTGGAAATTGGGGTTAAGAGGGGTGGAAGGCAGCGGGGAGGGAGGGTGGCCAAAGGCACAGTCGAAGGGAAAGGTCTTTAAACAGGACTTCAAGGAGGCAAGAGAGGTGTGAGGTGGAGGGATTGAGTTCCAGAGAGTGGGGGGACAGAGAGGCTGAATGCCCGACCGCCATCGATGGGGCAGGAAGTGCGGGGAACCTGCAGCAGACAGCTGTCCGCCTAGCAGAGGGAGCAGACAGGCTGATATGGGGTTAGGAGGTTACAGAGGTTTGGGGGAGCAAGACCGTGGAGGGCTTTGAAGGTGAGAACGAGGATTTTGAACTGGATTCTCTGAGGGATGGGGAACCAGTGAAACCAGGTGAGGGGGTGATCGGCTCCTGGAGCTTGATGCGGGAGAGGATACGAGCTGCAGAGTTTTGAACAATCTGCAGCTTGTGGAGGGGAGAGTTGGGAAATCCAGGGAGCAGGACGTTAGTATAGGACATGATGAAAGCATTGATGAGGATCTCGGCGGCTTGAGGGGAGAGGCAGTGGCGGAGACGGGCAATGTTGTGGAGTTGGGGGGGGAAGGCAAAACAGGTCATGGCACGATGCATTTAAGAATTTGTAAAAATTCTGGGCGTTCTGAAATGCTACATACATAAATTAAATCGAGACCTAGAAATGGACTCTCTACCCGAATGTGTGGACCTAAATTCTCCTGTTTTTAAATGTCTTTCCCTCAGGTTTTTACAGCATTTCACTGTGAGCAGCGTGAGCAATGAGCCTGTGAGAAGAGCCGACCTGTTTACACTGCTCCAACGGCCAAAGTTCAGTCCATCCCTCAGCGAAGGGCAGAACAAGGTAATGAAAGGCATTTAATGCTGCTCGTGCACTGTGGCTCTGGGGACTCCAAACCTCTGCCTGTGAAACCTTGGGATGTCCTTTCCAACAGCAGCGTTCTGTGTCGCTATATAACAACAAAATTATATTTGTATGGCATCGTTCATATTGGAAGGACACCCCAGAACGCTGGACAGTTGAGGTTTGCACCTGAACTGGGGGTTTAACTTAAGTGGAGTGGAGGGCAGCAGGATGAAAAAAATATAAAATATATATAGATATATATATATCAATGCAGGTTATTGTTGCTGTTGTCATGCCAGTGTGATAAGGCTCTGTATCAAATGCCAGGAATATTGGTATTCGACCGTTCTACCCTCCTACACTGACTGTCCTCTGCCCTCCCTGATCCTAACCCCCCCCCCACCGCTTGGATCCTAATCCTGCTCCTTGGGGCACCCTCCCAACGTAAAAGGCGCTTTATAAATGTAATCTTCTATTGTATCCTGTCAAGCGTTTTGAGATGTCTCAACAACCCGATAAAGCTCTGTATCAAATGCAAGGTTTATGATCAGTATTATTTATCTAGTTCCCTTTTGAAAGCCAACATGGATTCTACCTCAACCACGAGTCCCAGCAGAGCATTCCATATCTAATTCTGTGTGAAAATTCCTCCCCTAACCTCATTTGCTGGTTTACTATCTTAAATTGTTGCTCTCTAGTCATTGACTCACCAACCAGTGGAAATAATTTCTGCCTATTGACTTTGATCAGGTCAATCCCCAACATTCTCTGTTCCAGCAGAAAAATTCCCAGTTCCTCCAGTCTCATAAGTCAAACCACTCGTAAATCTCTTCAGCATCCACTATATTGCCTTGATGTCCTTCTGAAAGACAAATGCAAAATTCCATCCGTTGTATTAGTATAATAATATATTATAAATATTATAATGTAGTATAATATAATGTGGGAGGATGTCCCAAAGTGTTTCAGAATATATAAAATACAGTAAATTTACTTTACAGTATATCCTGTAAAGTGCTTTGAGACGCCTCAATGACATGGTAAGGCACTGTATCAAATGCAAAGATTATTATTTATTGTTATAAGATATTGCCTGAAACGTGCTTTTTCTTCCATTTGCCAGCTGACCTGTTGTAGCTTCCCAGAACTATACTTTTTTTTATGACTTTGCATGTTTGTTTCAGATGGTAATCACAATAATCACTGGTCTACCTGGCAGCTACAAGGAAGAGCTTTGCAGCTTCATGGTTAACGTGAACAAAGAGCTTGGAAGGTTGGTACCAAACGTGTTGTTTTGTGAGGGCATTGAGTTTGTTGTGGAGACTACAGGTGCCAGTTTGGCTCATTTGGCGGCATTCTCGCCTCTAGGTATCAAGCCTGTGGGTTTTAGGCGCATGTCACAGCTTGAGCTCGCATCCAGACTGACTCTACACTACATCTTTTATGCATCTATGCTGGATGAAGCACCTTTAGGTAGGAGTTGGGATACAAATCTGCAATACAGGGAAACTGTATAATCCGTCATTTCTGAGCATCGACTAAGCTCTCCAAACAAATGACACAAGAACGTTTTATTGCTGATGACTGCACCCCTGTGATGCATTCCGAAGATCTTCAGCTAATGATGGATAAATTTGCAGCTTCCACTAGCAACTCCTATTATTATTCTTCTTCTATTAGTCAGAAGAAGACAGAAGTAATGTATCATCCAGCTCCTGGGAAGCCGTGTGTTAGACCGTCGATCACTACCAGTAAAACTGAATTGAATGCGGTCAAGGAATTTCACCTATCTTAGAAGTGTACTATCTGATGATGCAAAGATCAATAAGGAAGTAATGGCTCGCATGCAGAGAACAAGCGTGGTCTTTAGAAGACTGTCTAAGTGTGTTCGGTATCAAGGTACCCACTAAACTGAAGGTTTATAAGGTGGTTGTCCTTACCAACAACAACAACAAGATTACATTTGTTTAGTGCCTTTCACGTCGGGAGGACGTCCCAATCTCCTGTATGGATGTTAAACATGGATACTCTTTAGAACGCACATTCAACAGCTGGAAAGCTTTCACCAAGGGCACCTTCACACCTTACTTTGTATCAGGTGGCAGAACAATATCGCTAACAGTGAAGTTCTGGAATGTGCTGACAGCATTGAGGCTATGATCATCAATGCTTAGCTCTGTGGCGCTGGACAAATCGTTAGGATAGACAAGTTTTTAGGTTGCCGAAGCAAGTGCTTTATGGCAAACTGGTGGATGGCAGAAGAAAGCATGGTGGACAATACAAGGACACACTGAACTTATGCTCGAAGCAATGCAATGTGGTCGTTGACTTTTGGGAAACTCTGGCCTCCGACAGACAACAATGACGTGTTGAAGTGAGAGAAGCTCTGTAAGCGCTCTGAGACGCCGTCCGGCATGGAGGGCGCTATATAAATCCAAATTGTTGTTGGAGTGAAGGGCTTTGAGGAACAACACTGTGTCAGTGTTTCGGCAAGCCATGAGGGCCTTGGGATGTCCTCCCGACGGGAAAGATGTTTTATAACTCGTGGAGTGCTGTAGCTCAGTGGTTAGAGCACTCGACTTGCAAGCGAGAGACCTGAGTTCAATTCCAAGCAGAGGGCGAAACCTTGGGCAAGTTTCCTTACTCCACACACCTAATAATAATCCCTCCAAAACAAACAATAATAAATTGGTCATTTTCAAACCATGACTGTTTGTGGGACACTGCTGTGCACAATTGGCTGCCGTGTTTCGCCCACAAATATACAGTCAATTCACTTTACAGTCTATTCTGTGAAGCGCTTTGAGACATCAGTATTGTTTATTCACCTCATGACTGCTGGTGGGACATTGTGCTGTATTTAGTTGCAAAAAATAAGACTCTACATTCGCCTCCTCTCTTTCTGTCTTTGGGACATCCTCCCAACGTGAAACAACAACAACAAAAAAATTACATTTATAGGGCGCCTTTCACATTGGGAGGACGTCCCAAGGCGCTGAAAGGTGCAATATAAGTGTAAATTGTATTGCATTGTATTTAAGGCCAACTCAAATGCTGCCTCTTTGAACGTGCCGATGGCCTCTCCCTTCCCTTTACTTTTTTCACTTCCCCATGCTCAGTGTCCAACCCTATCCCTGTGAAGGACTCCCAAGGCGTTGGCCCACATCAGGGTGATCAACTGGCAGACCAATTGTAATGAAAACGGGCCGATTTAATTCTCCACCTCTAATTCATCTGGCCCACCCGCTCTCTCCATAACCCGTAAAGGTTGTTTCTGGAAGGGAAACACAAAAATATTGCTATGGGTTCTGCGGACATTTCTCAAATAGGGCATCCGGTTCTAACCCTGCTTTACGTGAAAGGCACTATGTAATCACAAGTTTTGTTGTTGATAGTAATTACTGTGAAGTGCTCTGAGAAGTTTCAGTGTTACTTTTCCATTTTTTTCTTGCATCTTAAAAGGTTCTCTTGATCCTTTCCCTATTTATCTGATAATATCTCTACATAATATTATTAACTTCTCAACTCTAGCAGAGCATTCCCTACTTCGTCACGTCTCTCGTTAGACCTGAACTCACTGGTAAAATCCTTGTGAATCTAAGTTGCACTTTTTCCCATTGTTTCAATACCCTTCCTGTAATGGGTTGCCCAAAATTGTGCACAGTTTTGCAACTCTGGTCTAACGTGGGTTTTCTATATACAGTAATGTTGCATCGAGACATTCAAAGCGTTTTGCAGGGTTTTACTGTGAGGCCTGGGCTTGAACCCACAACCTTCTGATTCTGAGGTGCCACCTGAGCCAGGCTGACACCAGTTGTGGCAAGTTCCATTCCAAGTTCAACCCTCATCACAGAAGCTGAGTTTTGAAAGCTTTTCAATGCGTTCAATGACCTTTGGTTTCACAGGTGGTCGGTATATCGGCAGGCACCAGATAAATGCAAGACCTTCAATGCCAGCCAGATTCAGCATTACCTCTCCAGTGTCCTGGAAGCACAGCGAAACCGAACGGTTCGGCAGAGTGCGTACCTGCGGAAAAAGAACAGGATAATTATCGTTACACCAGGGTAAGCGGTGACAATCGAGTGACATTCTAACACACTCTCAGCACTGCATTGCAGTGTCAGCTTAGACTATTTGATTCCAAGTCCCAACGTGGGTGGTTGAACCCACAGTCTTCTGACTCAGAGGCGAGAGTGCTACCACTGAGCCAGACTGACTATAATAATAATAATCCTTGCATTTGATATAGCGCTTTTCACGTCTTCTAGACGTCCCAAAGCGCTTCACAGAATATACTGTAAAGTGAATTGACTGTATATTTGTGGGCGAACGCGGGAGCCAATTGCGCACAGCAATTTCCCACAAACAGTCATGGATTGAAAAATAACCAATTTATTATTGTTTTGTTTTTTTGGAGGGATTATTATTACTGTGTGCCAACCTGGCTCAATCGGTAGCAATCCTAACTCAGAGTCAAAAGGATGTGGGTTCAGGCTCCACCTCGAGACTTGGAACTCATATAATCTAAGATAACACAGTAACATCCTTGGGATGAGTCATTAAACTGAGGCTCTGTCTCACAGTTTAATTGATGTTTTGCTGGGTCAAAAATTGTTCACCCATAAAGCAGTCAGTGCACTTCACACTATATCCTTTGGACCTTCTCTTGAGGTAAAAGGCTGGTATCGTAGCACCAAGCTCATTTCCATATCGCAACGTAATACAATTAGTGGACACGCATAGAGTCAGCATGTAACTACACATTCTATTGCTTATCCTTCATAACCACAGTTCTGATCATCTTTAGTGCCAGTGTGCAGGACTATTTTTTGTCAAATGTTTAAATTCACCTAAGTCTATAATTTTCACCCACAGTTTTGAAACAATTTCATCAAAGCTGTATGCTTTGAAAGTTCACCCCACTTTGACTTAATCTTTGATACTGGATTGTAAATTGCAAAAGACATTTGAAGGTGGATGTAGCACCAGTTCTTTTTAGAGGTATTTTTCTAAAAATGGCTTTAAGTGTGTAAATTGCCCAGCAGATAAGATTGAGTGTTGCTTTTAAAAGCTGTGTGATTGCACCACTCATGGGAACATTGGCACATCCCTTGAATGTGTCATCTCTGTGATCAGGGTGTGGCTCCAGTTCTTGTATCTTGTTTTCAGTTCACACTCCTCACTTTTCTCCTTCTGCCAGATACACGGATGTCATCGATGTTGTGCAGGCCATTCAGACCCACCCAGACCCTGAGGCTCAGACCACATTCGTCATAGGCGCCATCACTGTCTGCGTGGACCCACTGTGTTCATATATGCTCCATAGGTACTGTTTATATAAGTCAGCCCACAGCTGTGATGTGTCATTCAGTTACCGCAGGCTTCTTCAGGGAGGTGGGGGCAGAGAGAAACAGGAGGTAAGTGGGATCTCTTTGGGCCTGATGTGGCTCCAATGTGAAGTGCTTGACAACGGAATGTCAGAATCATGTCCACCCTCTGTGAAGGTCTCGATCATCCGGTTCCTCAGCCGGTGGGTTTGCAGTATTCTCGGGCACTGTTGATAACAGGTCAACTCAGCCCTGTTAAGGTAAAAAGGACAAGTCACAGGAAGCTCCCGAAGGGTTTCACAATCTTCTTGGTTTTAGCAGATTTGATCAGCATTACCTCAGCAAAACAAGTCATTGGTCTTGCCAACCTGTACTTGATACGTTCCGGAATTAGGTAAGCAGGGTGCATCCCTCCAGGGATTTTAGTACATTTTATATCTTAGAGGTTAGAGCACATGTCTTGCAAGTGAGAGGACCTGGGTTTGATTCCAGGGCAGAGCAAAACCTTAGACAAGTGTCCTTACTCCAAACACTTCTGTTTACCTGGATCAGTAAGTAGGTACCCGGTTGTTAGTCGATTGGCAGATGGGTTTTCTGTGGGAAATAATCCCTTAAAAAAATATAATAATTTGTTCACTCAATCCACAACTGTTTGTGGGACACTGTTGTGTGCAATTGGCTGGCGAGTTTCGCCCACAAAATATACAGTCTATTCACTTTACAGTATATTCTGTGAAGTGCTTTGAGAAGTCTCAAAGGCGTGATATCAAATGCAAGGATTATTATTATTATTTCAGCACCGGTGACCTAGAAAATAACTGTCTTCACCTCAGTGTGTGTTTGATGACATCAAAACTGACAGAAACACTGATACTATGTTGAGAAATATCTTAACCAGAAAATGCCATATCTTTGTGGCATTTATAGCTATACCTAATTAACACAAATCTACCTTTGATTATTCCCTTACCAGTTCAGGAATTTCTTTTCCCAGTTTCAAACAATTATTGCGTCTCACAACTGATCTCCAGAACATGCCCTCATTGATCAAACTCACAAGTGCAAACCAGGGCATTGGTGCAAGGCAAGTCCTTGTAAAAATGAAACCTTAGTTAGAAGGAGAGACTTTACTGCCCCTTGAAATCAATCCACTGGGAGCCGGGGGAGTCTGGCAAACATAGATATTTACAGCACAGAAAATGGCCATTTGGCCCATCATGTCCATGGTGGCTCCTTTGAGCAATCCTTTCAGTCTCATTTACCTGCTCTTTGACCCAACCCCTGTACCGTGAGAACTGGAGTGATAGGCAAATGGAGATTTGGTGCAGAAGAGGATCCGGGTAGTGGAGTTTTGATTTATATAGCAGCTTTCATGTCAGGAGAACGTCTCAGGGGACTTTATATAGATGGCTAGGCACCCAAGCTAGCGGAAGGGAGCTGAAGGGGGCGAGTGAGAGATGATCCAAAGTGCAGTCAAAGAGGTAAGTGTTTAGACAGGCTTTGAAATTGAGAAGGGAGGGGGTGAGAAGGGGGTTGAAGCAGGAATTTGCAAGACGCCAGAACGGAGTTTCAGAGAGCGACCTCCCCAATCTTGCTCGCTTTTTATCGCGGCTAATATTGCTTCTTTGTCTTTCTAGGTTCCTTTTCCCCAAATATTTGGATCAGTGCTCTCAAGGTATGTGTGACAGATGTGGGATGACTACAGCACTGATTTGATGTGGATTAATGCATGTAGCTTTAATATGTGTGTGCGAGTCAAATGCAAGGATTATTATCTCAGCATCATTATTATTGTGGCATGCATTTGTGCCAATTTCTAACTAGTTGCGTCCATTTTGGTCCAGAAAATTAAACAGATGAAACTGATGATTTTGGTCTCTTTAACACAGTTGGTTAACTCTTAACCAGAGGACTTTTCATTCCCCATTTACAATAGGAGTTCCTGACACAGAATGAAAAGTTCATTTGCAAAATGCACTTTAGCTCCAAACTATAGTGTGTCTTTCCCATTGTTGGGTCACATTCCTTTTGGTACGCCCAAGGCTGGCAGGTTACAATTGGATTAAACTGTCCTTCCAAACCGAAGTGCCTTTGAGGAGGCTTAAATCTGAAACCCTCCCAGAGTGTTTACCTGCTAAGCCACCAAGTTAATGCTTCGGTAATGGCTGCCTGATCCAGGAAACAGGATGAGACAGATGTAATATAATATTCAGCATTCCAGTTTTTTTTCTCCCCCTCTTTCTGTAGGCTTAGTGAACAATGTGGTTTTCACAAACTTGACAGCCGAGCCAAGGCACCCACTTCTGATCCAACTGCAGAAGCTGATTCGAACCGCTAACCCCAGCATGGCTTTTATTCTCGCAGAGAAGGGAGCAGTGACCAGGTACAAATATATATTTGTAAAGCACCTTTCACGTCGGGAGGACATCCCAAGGCCCTGGACAGTCCAGGGTTTGCACCCAAGCTGGGGTGCAGGGGTGAGGGGAGGGGAGGATGGTTGAAAATATGCTCGAAGACCAAGGTCTTGAGGTGGATCTTGAAAAAGGCAAGGGAGGCAGCGAGTTGAAGGGATCAACTAGTTCTGTTTGGATGTAGGTATGATACAATATCATCGACATTGATATAGCACCTTTCACATTGGGAAGAGTTCTGAAAAGCACCTAGTAGTTGGTTGGGGAATAGAGGTATGGTAAGAGGGTGGAGTATTGGGATTAGATCTGCAAAGATCCAACAAACTGGTGGGACAACAACACTTGTGCTTGTATTGCTCCCTCTGAAATGCTACCCACGCAGGGTAGCATCGCGGAGCGTTAGGAACGGGCTTGACGGGCTGAATGGCCTCCTCCTGTCCATATTTCCTATGGTTTTTTTTCCCCGTGCACTTTATAATAGGGTGGTGCGGCTTCAGAATTGAAACATAGTTGAAGACTTGCCACCGGCAGTTTACCTTGCTGAGTTCGGAAACCTGTGTGAAGGGCCAACACTCATAATTAAGCTTGCTAACCTCTGTAATAAAGTCCATTGATGGCTTGAATAAGCCCCCTCCTCCCTTTAAGAAAGTTGTGGAATCCAGGTTGAGCAAGTTTAATAATAATGAAGAGGCAATAACCCCTTCAAAAAATACATAATAATTTGGTCACTCAATTCATGACTGTTTGTGGGACACTGGTGCGCAATTGGCTGCCGTATTCTGCCCACAAAATACACAGTCGATTCACTTTACAGTATATTCTGTGAAGCGCTTTGAGACATCTCAATGTGATGAGGCGCTGTATCAAGTGCAAGAAATATTATGATTTGCAAATTCAAGTTGCTGTTTATGTGTAAAGCCTGTATTATACATGTTTATTTCATTATCAGTGAACCACCTGCTCTCCAGGTGCCCTCCTTTCTCCTTTCACAATATCTTTTTCCTTCCCCTTACTCCTCACCCCACACACTACAGAAATGCTGATGTGGAAATGGTTCTGTCTGAAAGCAGCTTCTCAGAGCCCCCCATGTTGAGATCCCGCTACTTGATGTTTCCTGGCTGGTACGTACCTTCCTTGTGTAAAGTCCAATTCATCATGGTAACTCATCACGCTATTGATGACTCATTGTGATTCTGGGCAAACAAACGGAAAGCCAAGTGTGTGTGTGCACATGTGTTTGTTATGTGCATTCCCCAAAAATTGTTTCATAATGTCTGTTTTAATCGTCTTTTTGAGCTTCTTAAGTTATGAACACCAACTGGTCTGGGATATATAACGCAGGGTATCTGGTTTAAGTATTCTTCAGAGTGTGTCAGTGGGTAATGAGGAGAAGCTCTGCCAGAGGATTATCTCAGGACAAGAAACAGTCTAGGATGAATTAATGAATATCGATTTTTAGCCACCCAAAATAAGAATTAATTTCCACCCGTACTGTAACAACCTGCATTTATATAAAACAGTTTTTACGTTGGAAGGATGCCTGAAAGAGCTTGACATTGCTAGCTGCGCACCAACCTAGGGCATGGGAGCTGAGAGCATGAGGGGAAAGATGACCGAAAGTACCTTCGATAGCACCCTTTTGTGTAGAGTAACATCTCGGAGCACTTTACAGGAACAACCACAACAACTTGCATTTAGACAGCGTTCTTCACATGGGGTGGCTGGCTTAACAGTGGCGTAATTTGACACCAAGCCAGGAGAGAGGGGAGGTCACCATTTGCAGGATCGAAGAGGAACATCTTCAGGTGGTATCTGAAGAAGATAGAGGAGGCAAGTTTGGACATTGAGCAAGGTAGGAGGATGAGGTAGAGATAGATGCATTCAAAGAGGTAGAATTTGAGGCAGGACTTAAAGATAGAAAGAACGAGGGTCAGACAGATTGGCAAAGGGAGAGAGTTTCATAGGTTAGGGGTGTTATAAAGGTAATTTTTATGAACAGTTTTGCACAAAGGTATCATCGGTGCTTACAGTTTAAATTAACTTTTACGTTAAGTTGAAAGAAAAATACTAGAAAATTATATTTACTAAGTGTGTTCTGTGCTTTCATGCCCCTTGTTCAGGTATGACGGCAAGTTCAGATCGGGGCCAGTTTACCCACAGATGATGTCAGTCTGCCTCAGGTTCAACCGTCCACTCGATAGATCGAGATTCACGACAAAATGCAAAGGTTTGTTCCAGCCTCTTGAAGTGGAAGTGACAGCTTTCAAGCTATCTCCTCCAGAGCTCAAGACTTTAGAACAACAACAACAACAACAAGATTCCATATATAAAGCGCCTTTCACGTCAGGAGGACGTCCCAAGGCGCTGCACAGTTGGGTCATGACCCGAGCAGGGGGGAAATGGTCAGGGTGAGGGGAGGGAAGGGAGGGAGCGAGGAGGGGGAAATGGTCAGGGTGAGGGGAGGGAAGGGAGGGAGAGAGGAGGGGGAAGAGAGTCGAGAGGGGAGCTGAAGGCTCGGTCAAAGAGAAAGGTTTTGAGACCGGCCTTGAAGGAGGAAAGGGAGGAAGCGGCGAAGGCACTGGGGGATGGAGTTCCAGAGCCTGGGGGCTGAGAGGCTGAAGGCCCGACCACCGATGGTAGGGCGGTTGGGGCGGGGGACGTGGAGCAGACCGGAGCCAGAGGAACGGAGGGTACGGGCAGGTAGGTAGGGGGATAGTAGGTCGGAGAGGTAGGAGGGAGCGAGGCCGTGAATGGCCTTGTAGGTGAGGATGAGGATCTTGAAATCAATCCTCTGGGGGATGGGGAGCCAGTGGAGGCGAGCGAGGGTGGGAGTGATGTGGTCCGGTGTCTGGTGCGGGACAGTACACGAGCTGCAGAGTTCTGAATGACCTGCAGCTTGTGGAGGGAGGTGGCGGGAAGGCCGGCGAGGAGAGAGTTCCCATAGTCCAGCCTTGAGGTGACAAAGGCGTGAACCAGGGTTTCAGCAGCGTGAGGGGTGAGGTAGTGCCGTAGTCTGGCGATGTTCCGGAGGTGATGGAAGGCGGTGCCAGTTGTGGTGCGGATGTGAGGGAGAAAGGACAGCTCAGGGTCGAACAAAACGCCGAGGTTCCTGACTGGCTTTGAGAGGTGGAGAGTGCAGCCTTGGATGCTGATGGTGTCAGCGCCTGAGGTGCGGAGGCGCTGACGTGAGCCAATCAGGAGGGCCTCGGTTTTTCGCACGTTGAGCTGAAGAAAGTTGTCTCTCGTCCAGGACTCGATGTCGGACAGGCAGCTGTCAGGACATCGGTGGTCGTGGAGTTGAGAGTAGAGGAGGAAAGGTAGAGTTGGGTGTCATCCGCATACATGTGGAAGTTAACTCCATGTCTGCGGATGATGTCACCACAGGGGGAGCATATAGAGGGTGAAGAGGAGGGGACCGAGGACAGAGCCCTGAGGGACACCACATGAGACAGTGCGGGGGGTGGAGGAGAAGCCATTCGTCGAGACAAAGTGAAGACGGTGAGAAAGGTACGACCTAAACCATTCAAGGACAGTGCCTTGAAGGTTGAGGTGGGAGGATAAGCGGTGGAGGAGGATAGCGTGGTCGACCGTATCGAATGCTGCCGATAGGTCGAGGAGGCAGAGGAGCCCTGGTCACAGATGGTCAGGATATCATTGGTGACCTTGACCAGGACAGTTTCTGTGCTATGGGCAGCACGGAAACCCAACTGAAGGGGTTCGAAAAGAGAATGGGTGGAAAGGAAAGAGCGGGTGGATGTTAAAGGGCGAGAATGGGTGGAGAGGAAAGAAGTACTGAATGAAATAAAAAGAAGCCACCTTTATCAAAAAAGAACGAAAACTAGCATTTTTATCAGCGCCCATTTCGAATAGTGCCTTGGGATTGTTATGCCCACTTGGACTTGGTTTAACTTCTGATCGGAAGCACAGCACCTCCCACAATGTAGCACACTCCCAGCACTGCACTGTATTGTACATATCTAATATGGAATATGCAATAGAACGAAATAAACCTACTTAAGCAGAGTTCTTCTAACTACAAGCTCTTCAGTTTTGTAAGGTGACATTGTGTGTCAGCTCAGCTCAGCTCAGTTAGTAGCAGCCTCATCTCAAGTCAGAAGGTTGGGTTTCAAACCCACATCAGGACTATGCACTGGTCTCGGCTGACATTCCAGTGTGATCCATTGTTGGAGGTGCCATTCTTTAGATGTGTTGTTGAACCATGGTCTTGCCTGTTCAGGTGGATGTTAAAGATCCCCTTGTATTTGAAAAATTTCTTCTGCGCCCTGGCCAACAATTCCCCAGATGAAATTGATCACTCACTTCATGGCTGTTTGTGGGATCGTCAGTTGCTCTGCGCAAACTGATCGCCACATTCGCCTACAAAATACACAAGTCACTACACTTTACAGTATATCCTGTGAAGTGTTTTGAGACATTTCAACAACTATAAGTTGTATCAAATGCAAGGATTATTATTGTGCGGCGATTGCTTCATCGCAACAAGTCTGAATCATCTAAGATAAGAATTCTGCTGTAATTGTAAAATGTCATTTTTTTAAACTCCAGAACCTTTCATCTGCTCCGGTTTTGTTTCAATTTCTGCTGCAGTTTTAATTTGAAGCTGTTTGTATTGTGTGAGCCTCACTGCAGATCATTGTGCATTGGAATGTGCAGTATGATATGGGCACCTACACACACCTTCCTCAACTCCTTCCACCCCTAGTTTGGGCTCCCAGTCAACTTTGTGAAGCACTTTGAGATGTGCTCGTGACATAAAAAGTGCTGTGTAAATGTAATCTTGCCATGTAAATGGCAAGTTTCCTTACTCCACACGCCTAATAATAATCCCTCCAAAAACCCCAAACAATAATAAATTGGTCATTTTCAATCTACGAATGTTTGAGGGACATTGCTGTGCGCAATTGGCTGCCGCGTTCGCCCACAAATATACAGTCAATTCACTTTACAGTATGTTCTGTGAAGCGCTTTGGGACGTCCTCCTGACGTAAAAAGCGCTATATCAAATGCAAGGATTATTATTATTATAATCTATGTATTGTCACTGTGATATCGGAAATACACTGACTCCACTTTATCTCTTTCTGTTACTACAGGTCTGAGGTCCACACTGAAGTCCATTCCTTTTCATGGAAATATTTATCATATTCAAGGACGAGTGAAGTTTCCAGGTACTTGATTTGGGGATTTAAGTCTACTTTTGTTACCATTGCTGGATTATAGGTGCATCACCTCTATGAGAAGTTATTTCTGTATGCTACGATCTGCTAGATTTTGAAACGATTGAATTTTGGAATACATCGAGCTGCACGCTTTTCTGGTTTAATCCCGCCTCTTGCTTAAGTAGCACAGTGACGTGACTTTCAGGCTTGACTACGTCAACGCTCTGCGTGCCAGACTCCCCAGCTTCCCCCCACAAGCTGTGGACTCACCAGAACTCTGTAGCCCCTGTCCTCTTCCACATCAGGTTCCTGGAGTTTATTACCTATCCTTGCTTGGCTTCACTGGCTCCCCATCCCCAATGGATCATGTTCAAGATCTTTGTTGTTGTGTTCAGGTGCAAGCTGTTGTTATTGTACTGCATAAAATGTAAATTGTGTTGACTTAATATAGTTTATGATAAAATAAATTGTGTGGCACTGACTTCCCACTGAACTAGCTCACACTGGCTTAACTCACACAGATCATTTGAACTGCAGTTCTTACCCCTTCCCTCCCTGCCCTCCACCCCTCCTGATCCCAACCCCCTGCTCAGGTCCAAATCCCTGTTTGTTCAGCGCCTTGGGACATCTTCCCAATGTGAAAGGTGCTGTGTAAATGTAATTTGTTGTTGGCGTTAAAAAGGAAACCGAGCTGGATCTTGGATTTTACCCATTTACCCAAGTGTCATTTTATAGGAGTACGCTATTGATATGGTGTGTTGTAGCAGTGTTTCATCTGTAAATCGGCAAATATGCAGGGAATGTAAACCCTTACACACTCTTTTTTGTAAGTTGTGTTGTGCAGCATTTGGCAGAGTTGAATCTGAATATCTAGAACTGACATCCTCTCTTCGCAGCCTAACACAATGGCATTGACAGGGTCAGAGGCATAGTGCCAACCTGCCCTCAAACAGGATAATACATTACACCAGGACCCAACAGAAGGAAGAGAAAAAAACAATGAGCTTGTTAAAATTTGAGCAGAGATTTATGAATTATAACCTTGATCGTGCTTTTTTTTAACCTCTTTCCTCCCACCCACCCTTTCCCCACACTCTTAACAGACTCCAGCTTAGTGACCTCTCACCCATTGCAGTAGAATTCAACTTACATTTATATTGCCCCTTTCATTTCGGGTGGACATGTTGAAAGCATGTCATTCAGGTGGGTCTTTAAAAGAGCCAGCACAGACATGATGGGCCAAATGGCCTTCCTCTGTGCTGAAAATTCTGAAAAGTTGCAGTCCTCTTCCACACTACGCTCTGTGAGCCAATCACCGTTATCCTTACCCTGCTTTACTAGCTCTCCATCCCCCAGATCAATCAAGTTTAAGACTTTTAAAGCCCTCCACGGTCTTGCTGCTCCCTACCTCCGTGACCTACTAAAACGCTACCAACCTGCCCACTTCCTTCGCTTGCCAGGTATTGGCCTGCTTCATGTCCTCCGCCCCGCCCGCTCCACCATCAGCGGTCAGGCCTTCAGCTTTGCTGGCTCCATCCTCTGGAACTCCATCCCGAATTGGCCTCTCCGCATTGCCACCTCCTTTGCCTCCTTCAAGGGTCATCTCAAAATCTTCCTCTTCAACTGTGCCTTCAATTATCCCGCCACCCCTCTTGACTCCAACTCCTAGCTCAGGTACAAATCCTTCACTGTCCAGCTCCTTGGGGCTGCAAGGACACACTGAAGTCGTGCTTCAAGCAATGCAATGTGGTCATTGATTTTTGGGAAACCCTGGCCTCCAACAGACTGCAATGATGTTCTCTTCCTATTTTCAGGTCTCGACTGAAGACCTTTCTTTTCGACCGCACATTTGGTCACCTTCCTCCCCCTCCCCCTGGCTCAGCCCCAGGATCCGTCACTGTGAAGCGCTCTGAGACTCCGTCCGGCGTGGAGGGCGCTATATAAATCCAAGTTGTTGTTGTTGATGATGTGTTGAAGTAAGAAAAGGAGTGAAGGGCTTTGAGGAACAACACTGTCAGTGTTTAAGCAACACATGAAAGCCCTGGGATGTCCTCCAACATGAAAGATGCTTTATGAATACAGTTTGCTGTTTTTGTTCATCTTTTCAGTAAAATATTACTTTGTAAATCATTGCCCTGAATTATTTTTTAAACTCCCTGTGTCCTGCAGACTCGGAAAAACTGTTTGAAATTTGCCACAACACCATGACCAACGCGATGTGTTTGGTGCCTTTGCAAGACGGCCCCTCTCCCCCTCCCTTACAGAGCGATGGCAAGATCCACATCAGCCAGCCTGAGTACTTTGTCACCTTCATCGGTTGCTCTCTGAAGGAGGAGGTTTTGATGGACTGGCTGCGACAGTGTACCAGACAGGTACAGGTTTACCATGGGCTCCACCTTCCCCTCCTCTCTCCATCTAATTTAATCAGTGTTTTCTCATTGTCCTTTGGAGTCCCATAAGTGTAGTGGTTAGTGCACTCGCCTCGCAAGGGAGAGGACCCGAGATGATTCCCGGGCAGGGTGAAATGATAGGCAAGATTCCTTATGCCACAAGCCTGTTTACCTAGCAGTAAGTAGGAACCTAGTTGTTTGTCGATTGGTGGATCGCTTTCCAGAGGTAATTATCCCTCCAAAATAATAATAATTTGCTCACTCAATCCAAGACTGTTTGTGGGACACTGCTGTGCGCAATTGGCTGCAGTGTTTTGTCCAAAAAATATACAGTCAATCCCTTTACAGCATATTCTGTGAAGTGCTTTGAGACATCTCAACAACGTTATAAGGCACTATATCAAATGCAAGGATTGTCATTATTATTGTTGTCATTCATCCCATACCAGTTAGGAAGAAACTGGTGTCCCTCATATTTTTGGTCAGCCAGGTGTCTGAGACATGCATGAGTTTAAGAGTATCCAAACCAGACTGAGTTTGGTGCTTGCGGTTTTCTCCATTCTCTTTTCAAATACTGTCATGGGATATTTAACTTCCAACTGAAAAGGTAGACGGGACCTCGGTTTAACGTCCCATCCAAAACATTGCTGTGTGTAAACTTGGTTGTCATGTTTGCCTACAAAACACAGTAAATCCTTTGCAGCATTTTGAAAGATTTCAATGGCATGTTAAGACATTTACATCAAATGCAAAAGATTGATATTAAGAATATAAGACTGTAATATTGTTACACATCCCGTCCTTGTTCTCGTGGAGCGAGATTTTACTAATTTATGTTTTATTGCCATCTTTACTGTGCAGAAACCTCAGAAGAAAGCTATGAAGATGCGTTCAACCCTCACAAAACAGGAAATCAAGAACATCCATGTAAGTAGAGTGACAGAACACTAGAGTACCGAGACAGGCTGTTTGACTGGTCTGGAGTTTTCTCCATAGGAACAGTAAGAGGCGGTTCAAATATCAAACCTGTTCCACCATTTTATTAGATTATGGCTGATTTTTTAATCCCATTTCCCCACTGTTTCTAATAACTCCTAATCCTTAAAAAATAATCCTACTTCTCCTGTATCTAACTCTGTGTCAGCCAGGTTCAGTTGGCAGCATGGGAATCAGAAGGGTAGGGTTGAAGCCCCATGTCAGGACTTTGAACTCGCACAGAATAAGGCCATTTGGCCCATCATGTCTGTTGAAACCCTCGAGCAATACTTTCAGTTCCATTTTCCTGCCCTTCCCAACTCTTTTTGAGGTATTTATCTAGTTCCCTTTTGAAAGCCAGTACATAGACCAGACTGACGTTCTGGGTGAAGTGCTTTGAGATGTCTCAACAACTTGATAAGACGTTCTATCCAATGCAATGATTATTATAGATAAAATCAGTCGTTCACTTCATGGCTGTTGTGGGACATTGCCCAAATTGGCTGCCAAATTCACCTACATAATAGTAAGTCGCCACACTTTGCAGTGAATCTTGTAAGATATCTTTGAGCAGCCTTCCCAATGTTCTCTGGTACTGTATTAAATGCAAAGATTATAATTATTATTATTTGAAAACTCTCAAACATAGTGATGGGTTTTCGTGTTTGTCAAGACACCAAAAAAAGTACCTAACTGGAAGCAGTTCCTTGGATGTGTACAGGTTTAAAGCATAATTAATATCCTTTTGATTCCAAAGCATTAAAACCTTTGCACTTTGGGGGGTCAGCTTGGTGTCTGACATGGGGAAACCCATAGCTGTGCTTCAAAGTAGCCAAACCAGATTGAAAGTTCCATGTATGCCACCTAAAAATGGAAATCCCTGTGTTCGGAACGGAAAGTGTATTCTCTCCCCATTTAAAAATAAATCAAAGATATTTCACAGTTGAAAATGTAAGTTTCTTGACCTTTCGTCTCGTCTTCAGATCAAACGCCATTTGGAGCTGACTCCACCCGGTTGGTTTTACAACGGGATCCAGTTCGTTAACTTCTTTGGTGAGAAAATGGACTATCATCCATGTATCCTTTCACGCTCTTTTGGGGTGGGGGACATTTTTAGTCAGTTTATCTATTTCTGTTTGGAAATCAGCTGAATACACATCAACATCTATTTTGTTACGTCCTGGGTTTCGGAGCCTCTGACCAGTTCAATTCTATCTGAACTTAATCTGTGTTTGTGCTGAGTCACTCTGGAGGCTGGATGGTAGGTCTTGAGACAGACCTGGAAAGAGGTTGGGAAGATAGCAAGTCAGAGGGACTATGGAATGAAGTTCAGACAGTGGAGGCAGATAGGCTGAAACCCCAAATCTAGGCTAGATAATCCATACGCCCAACAAGAGCAGAAATAGGAGATACACTCCTCGGAAGAGAAAATCAATAATAATAACTTGGATTTTTTGTTCACGTAAACTAAATGTCCCAAAGCACTTTACATAATGAAATGGAGGCGAGCACATCCAGTTCATGAAGCGTGTTATTACGGGGTTCTACTATATTTAGTAGAAGTTCAGGGTATTCTATCCACCAGTGAAGCTTTTACTGATTCTTGTAGGAAGGTTACACACATTTCACTTTCAATTACCTGTGAAGCATTAAAGGTTTGGACATCATGGGCATCGGTTGAAACACAGGGACTGTCATTAACGTAGGTCAATGCAAAGGCTGTTTGTTCCTTACATCTCTGACCTCCCAGTGATGGACAAGTTCATAGATGATTACATTGTGGAAACCAATAAAGAGATCGAGGGGTACAATGCAGAACTCGAACGTCAGGCTTGCTCTGACCTCTTTGAGCCATAGCTGAAGATTCACCTAAGCTGTCCTCGGCCTGACTGTCCACATCTGAATTTGGGACAGCCAGTTACAGATAATGAGTGCGTAGTCTGGAGCGGACATGGAACGGTATTATAACATAATACGTTCTTGCGTGGTAAGATCGGTCTCAATAATTTAAGTCGGGAGTTGTGGGGGGAAATTACATTGTTTTAGTGACTGAGACTTACAAGAAGCCAGCAACATTTCCTATTAAGCTCCAATACATAGCAGCCCCCTCCTCCCCCAGTTATAATGCGCACTGTGTTTTGGGTCAACAAAATTAGCTTCCGCGTTATAACTGGTCTGAAAAAATGGCCATCATCCTCGCTTCCAGGTCATGAGATCAGCTTTGATGTCACCTCCGGTACTGGCTGGCTGGCTTCCGGGGCCACACCACTCTTGGAACTCTGATTAAAGGGACTGGCTTTCGGTGCTCATGCTCAGAAAGCTGGTCAGTCCATGCCGGAAGCAGACATTGGCAAACTCGCACTCCAGCGAGGCACTTTATAACTGGGTCACCCTGCAGTTCCCAACTGTTGGTTTTGCTCACAACAGTAGTGAGCTGTCTGCAGTGGCAAAATGGTTACGTGGAACATGCCTTTTCTGTCTTTGGGGTCTGAACCCTTAACCATCCCAGTTCAAATTGACACAAATATGTGTCTAAATGTACAAACAAACCTCGTCACTTTATAAATCTCTCAGGTCTTCAAAGTGGACCTGCGGCCAATTGAATCAGATCAAAAAGTTAAAGTAATTCTGATTGCTGTTTTTAACCCAATGCATGTGACCTGACAGGAGCTGTAAACCAGCCAAGTGCTTCATCTCAACTATAGAGGCAAACCCACCACAACAATGTGCATTGAAAATGGACTGCTGCTTTGTAAGGCCAACACATTTCAGTGAAAGCTATTAATTCCATCAAACTGACGCCAATATAAATTAACTTTGCGCCCTTGCTGCAGCAAACTATAGCATTCTTTTACTGACCCCTGAGTTTACACGGTCGATTGTTTTGTGGTTAGGTGCAAAAATGTAGGTTTCCTCCTTTTTCACAGAAAAGCTTTAATACCACCAGATGAGATGTTTATAGCTGCTGATTCTAAACTCATAATTGTTGGGATTAGTATAATTATTTCAGATTTGTAACCTGTGGAGCCCTTGGCATAAAAATTATTTACTATGGATTCAATGTTAAGCTTGGGGAGAGAGTGTGGGAGGGAATCAGCATTCCAAAAGTGCGCAGTGTAGATCAGTCCACTTGTCATTTATCATGTTATACACATGAACTTTAGCAGTGAGTATTTCATGTCCGATGTTAACTGATAACCAAAGGTGGAATCCCGTCTTATTCTGGCTATGAAACCTTTAGTTCAGATAGTAAACATGTCTTCTCAATGTCCAGACATTTTAAATACATATATATACATACACACGTATAAACGTTTTAAAATACTTTAGAAGTATTTCTCCACCTTATTTTCTCCCCTTACACTCACTCTCTCTCTCTTCCACCTATTTCTCTCTTGTGTCGTTCTCTTATTCTGATTCCTCATGTTTTTGCTCATTTCGTTTCAAGTTTTTTTTTCACCCTCAATCTCTTTTTCTCTCTTCCCCCCCCACCACCGTGTTTTCTTCCCCACCATCATCGTGGTAACTTTTCTCGCTTCCCTAACTTTTTTATACTCACGGTCAATTGTTGGCCAGCTTGTGTCCAGTTGAAGCTTTTACTTGGGACTGGCTCAGGCTCGTCAAAACTTGCAAGCCCTGCGTAGGCAGATCTTTCCCACCGCTTTCCCTCGTGCACACAACATAGGAGCCAGAGAGGAAGTGGAGAACACGTGCGATTGTGCACAACACAGTATTCTAGATTCCATGCACTCGAGCATGAGAAACGGCCCAGAGTTAATGCAATCACTCACACATATACATAACACACACAAACCCAGACTTAACAGAAAAAAAAGATGCATCTTTACTGACTTAGCTGAAAGGTGAGTGAAGAGGGTGTGGGCTCATTTGGCTAGTTTCTAGTTCTCTATTTCAGACTGAGGTGCAGGTGTTTAAATCACCTTCGTGGTCATCAAGAAAATGGCTAGGGTGTTACAGGCTGGATGGGGAGGGAAATATCCCTCAACAAAATACTAATTTGGTCAATCAATTCACAACTGTTTGTGGGACATTGCTGTGCACATTTCGTCTACAAAATATACAGTCAATTCACTTTACAGTATATTTTGTGAATTATTTTGAGAAGTCTCGAAGACATGATAAGGCCCTATGTCAAATACAAGGATTATTATTAAATAGCATGTGTCAAATTGTTAATGATAGGTGGGAGACAGGTTTCCTCAATGAATGAGAGGAGATATTATTGTCAGTCACAGCTAAATGCTGCTTCTCGCCACCATTCCTGATCATACGCTCCCACAATTAGTACAAAAAGATACACTGGTAAATTTACATCTCAAGCTGAGTGGTGTGATGTGGTACACTGTAATGCTGAGTGTCGCACTGGATTGATTTAAACTGGGGTATACCTTTACAGTAAAGGTAAACAGTAGATGCCTTATGTTAAATTCTAGTATGGTGGGGTGGGGCAGGGGAAAAAATTAGCCTCAGTAAAGTCAGATGCTGCTAAATAGTTGGTTTGGTGGAATGATGCTGTTTGCAAATTAAGCTGAAATGTGTGTTCTGACTACTCATCAACACCAACTTACATTTATATAGCGCCCTTCACGCAGGATAGCGTCTCTGAGCTGTGTACTCGCCTACACAACACATGTCACTACACTTTATAGCAAAGCGCTTTGAGATATCCTCCCAATGTGAGAGGTGCTAATATCAAATGCAAGGACTATTATTACGACTTGTTTATTATTATTATTATTACTCCTAAAATCAACAAGGTCACTTTCAGAGAGTGGCATTCCCAGCCTCTATATGATGAGATGAGCATTCTAGCTGACTGGTTTACCTTACCTACGGTCTCAGTGCGGTCACTACAAATGTGAAGAACAAACTTTTGGGTGCACTTTGTATTTTTTTTACTTGACGACCTGCGCAAGCCGTCATCACAGTTTCCCTGGTATTGTTTGGGTTGTCGGAATTCGGACATGTTTTGTTTTTGTGGGGTAGTGGGGGGGCAAGAGTTATACATTACTTTTTTTTTTAAAAATGGTTTATCTAAATATTATTGCGGCTGAAGTCTCTGAAATTGCGTTGTATCGTCAAGGCACACCAACGCATTTCCCAGGTAGACCCGCAGCGAAACCCTGTAGAGGGTGTCTCTCATATTATTGTTTATTGGGTCGGCAACAATGGTTTTATTCAGTCAGGACTTGGCTGAGCCCTTCATCAGCCAAGCTTTTGATTCAAGCTCTGCAACAAGACAGAGCAAAGACTCATACACAGTCTTTGCATGCAGATCGGGGCAGCTGTCTCTTAACGGAAGACAAATAGTCCAATAAATATAGTGCAGGCTTGAAAAAATATTGTGGTGCCAACTCTGATGTAGCTTTATAGATAACTGTTGATATAATGCAGGGAGTAAAGGAGGGGAGGGGGAACAGAGCAGATTCGCTGACGTCTTAACTCAGCGAAGGAATATTTAAGCGCTTAAACCTCGCTCAGGAGTCCAAGAGCACATTAAGATAACACTCGATCAGATTACCTTTGCGAGCATCATCTGCAACAACAACAATAACTTGCACTTATATAGCGCCCTCCATACAGGGTAGCGTCTCACCTAGCTTGTTTCGCTGCAAAAAACAAGCATAACCTTGCAAAGGAGGACGCTTTGCATTCCATATGAATGTACTAAAGGAAAATGTGTTGTTTTATCCTGAATCAGACACCCACCCAGGTGTGCGTTTCTTGGGCTCTTGTGCCAGTTTGCTTTATGCATGTGCAGGCAGGTACCCATGACTTACAGTGTTGGGGGACATAAGACTAACCCTCCCCCCACACAGACAAATAGTAGGTGCGCTCAAGGGAAACGGCTGTCAGTGTTTGGTATCACTGCCATTTACTTTAGTTTATTCAGGTAAGGTTTAAAATGCCCAAAACTGACCTCCCCATCCGTTAGGATGAAGCAGTGTGTTATTCTCCTTCCATTTTGTTTTGACTTCATTTAAAATGCGAGGCATCTCTTATCAAGCCCACTTTGGTGATAATAGGCATCCCCCTCCCCTTCACGTTAGCTCACTTGGAGTTGTTTGGTTGAAGGAAACCCAAGGTTCTTGATTCATAAGGAAATCCATCACCATGCTTAAGAGTATTCAAAATAGACTGAGGGTTCCACCCATGTATGCCAGCTCTGTATGGATATTTCCCTGCATCTGGAATGGAATGTGCTCTCTCTCCCTGGAGGGACACACCCTGTTTACTTAATTCTAGGTACGCAGGTAGGCGAGAGCCAAGGCTTGGGGACCCCACATGTGTATGCTGTTCTTGGGGATAGTGGGTTAACTGCTGGAGTTTAACCAAATGAAGTGGTCAAAGTAGAAAGCTCACTCACCACGTATGTAGCATCTCAGATGCTTTAATGGTTAACTGATGCAAGCATGGTGATGAATTAAAATCTTCTCTTTTTTTGTCACTGAAATCCATGGGAGCTGTGTCTTTACGTAAAGGGGTGGTGGGGGGGGAGAAAAAACAAAGCAAGTTCCATGGGCTGTGTTTCGATTGAATTTGATGTGTCCAGAGAAAAATCTCCTAAATGCCAATTTTTAATAACTGATGACTGCCAGAAGTGGGCAGGAAAAAAATCCTTGAGCAATTTGCAAAGGACATTAAGCTCAGGCCAGCAAAGCTATAGTAAATGGCATGCGAGTAAATGGCAGCAAAGGCACACTTACCTGGCAAAGCTGTGTAGAAACACTTTCAAGCCTTCCCCTACAAATAGTCTTTGCAGCTCAGTTCTGTTAGCTTAGAATGCTCGCTTACCATTATAACCTTGCAGCGTAGGCACTAAGACAGCCAGGGAAACGAGGAGAAATGGTCTCCACGGGTCCCAAGGCAGGTAGGTTGATAATTGTGATGGGCGACATCCAACCTTTCAACTGAAACGTGCGCCCCCACCTGCGGGTGCCAATGTAATACAAGGACAGTGCCCGGAGCAGTAGAGAATAAATGAACTGTACTAGATTTTCCAGGCAGACAAATCTCATATTAAATATTCAGTGGTCAAGCTCGAGAGAGTAATGTTTTACGGCTCACTGTGGCTTTTTACTATTGTTGAGGTGCAAACTTATTTTTAAGTAACAAATTTACTATTCTGGAGTAACCAATTTATGTTATTGAGTTACCAATTGGGGATCTGTGTCTGGAAGAATGCTGGTTAGTTCAAGTTAGATTGCACGATTCCTGATTTGATACAAACTGCAGAAAAATATGTAGTTCAGTTCCACTCAGGGCACTGACCCACGAGCTGTCCACAGGTCGCCTTCACAAATTATAACCAATTGGTATTTGTTGACCATGGCTTGCAGTGTCGCCCATCATAAACTGTTAAGTAAGACTTAGTTAGTTAGTTAGTCAGTCAGTTAGTTAGTTAGCTAGCTAGCAACTTTGATAGTATGACAAATGGAGCTCTGTACTCTACTCCATTCACTTGTCAGTTTAACATCAGCGACTTCTGTGATTTATAGAGGCAGAAGGACCAGACCGTAAATACGTATTGTGGCACAACATGGTATTTGCGTAGTACGTTCATAAAATAGATTTACTGTGAAAATTGGTCCAGTGTGGCCATCCAATACGAATAGCCTTAACCCTTTCACCGCACTAGCCCTCTTCCAAATTAGAACAACAACAACGGGAGGGAGGGGGGAGCTGATAGCTCATCGTTATGAGTCCGGAGCTGTCAATCAGACATGTAGATTTTTTTAAAGAAAAATTTTGCAAGGCATTAAATCCTCGTCCATCAAACAATGTTTTATTGTTTGGGGAGGGGCCACATGAGATCACTGAGGAATCTTGTGTGCAAACGAAATGATATTTTGAAGTTAAAGCTATATATGATCAGAGGTCAAAGGTTACCGGCAAGGTCGGGTATAGCTGCTTTTTTTTCCTATAGTTCCGGTCAAAAGCCGGAGACCAGGAAGTATGCAATCGCCTTCAATCAGTACATGACGCCAATGGGAATGTATGCAGGACCAATTAATGCCTGACCAGATCCATCCTTGAACCCATTTGAGAGGTGAAGGAGTAATAATAATATCCTTGGATGTTATTTGGAGTGGTGGGAGGAGGGAGGAAATGGAGAGAAAAGAGGAGAGGAAATGTATTGAACAGATGTTTGGGAAACAAGATGGGAAATCATTTTTGTTTATTTTACAAAGCACAACGAGAACCAAAGTATACATAAAAAAGAAAAAATTCTGGTCTTATCTTTTGAATAGTGGTCCCACACTCTCATGTATATTTTAAGGAGGGTGGACTTCTCTTTGGTATCGCTGATCAACTGGCTTTGTCAAGGCTGGTGGGGTGCGAGCGTAAAGAATATTAAAACAAATGAGACCAAATGGTCTCGATTGCAGTTGAATGTGCTGAGGTTTCCCTGGAGCCAGCACTCCTGTTAAATGTCTGACCTCTGACCGTCTAAACATGACAACAAACTAGTATTTGAGGTGAAAGGGATTCGAGTATCAAACGTGTTGCAAACAAAAATATTCTTAAAAATTCCAAATGCCGAGCAGGTGTTTTGATGTTAAACTTTTAGCGGGCCTTAAACAAGCTTGTGCTTGCAATCTTCTTTATTGCGAGAATGTGTTTTACTAGTCACTGAAGTTATAGAAATGATGCATCTTTTTTATAATAAAAATGTATGCAGCTTAAATTAGCTCGCTCCCTTTTGCCCTCAGCCCAACTCGGGGCGGGTTTGAGAGCTCAATTTAAGTTGTCGATTTATGACATTTGCACACTGGGGAAAGAATTGCATTGGCATTCAAGAAACGAAAATGGGAACAAAAAAAGGGGAGTGATTTTAATACAATAAATTAAAAGTTGTTTCGACAACAAAAGACTTTACTGTGATTTGCTAACCTATGGTGTCATTTGAAACACCCGATTCTTTTAGCGAAACATAAGACTTTACCTCATAACGTAAATTGCAGCAATTTTTTTATTAGACTGTTGGTTACTTGCTGAGATTTTACAAGCAAACAAACAAAACAAATT